GGGGGGTCAGCCCCATCATTTGTACAATTTTGAATCCCCACCACCTAGGGATGCTTCCAGTCAAATTTAGTAAAATTCCAATAAGTGGTTAAGAAGAAGAAGTCGTTTAAAGAAATTGTTGACGGAAGGACGACAGACGACGGACAGACGACAGACAACGGACGGACGGACAACAGACGCCACGGTATGGCATAAGCTCACCTTGGTCCTTTGGAACCAGTGAGCTAAAAACAAGCGAGAACACGTTCAGTGGAGCGGAAAGTACTGTGTAGTATGGATATCGCAGACAATACTACTGAGGACAGTCAAAGAGATAGCAATTAAATGATAGCGACACAAGATGCAGACTGATTTTATTTCGTGCTACAGCTGTATGGTGTATCGATGTTAAAGTTGATCGAGTGATTTAGTCTGTGGAGTTGTTAGTTATATGATCAGTCCCCTTGAACTAATAGCATCAATATGTTGGTGTTGTAAGCTAAGGTTAATCTCTAGCCTGCTACTAGTACTAATATTAATACCCGGCCTCTTCTGCCCCAGACTCAATATATATAAAAAATCTCTCGTCGTCAGAAAGCTTTGTTATCGCAGCTAGCCTGCTACCACTAGCCCTCCACCACTGGGTCGCAGGTTCGAGATCTACGCTGGGCAGTCGCCAGGTACTGGACGTAGGTCGGTTGGTTTTCCCTGGAAACGCCGGCTTTCCTCCACCACCAAAACCTGGTATGTCTTTAAATGACCATAGGACGTAAAACACAAACAAACAAAACATTGTCTAGCCACAAATTATCCAGATGTCCTAACTTCCAATATCCAACATCATCCAGTTGTACCGTTAATCAAGCCATCACTTATCGAGTTGTCCCTTTATCTATCTGTCACTTATCAATCCAGTTGTCCCATTATCTAGCCACCACTTATCCTGTTGTCAGATTATGAGGTGACAACTCGATCCAGTTGAGCATATGTAAATAAATCGACTTGTGCTAAAATGGAGTTATAACCTCATAGCCTTACCAAAATAGGAAATTGTTCCTAATTTTCAGTCTTTTTTTCTGTGAACAGTTCATAACTATTTTAATCATTAGTATGATCAGCGGACTTTGTTGTTGACGTCATGGAAACAGTTCAAACTGGTGTAACAAAATGGGCTGTAATTAGGTAATTGATAGAGAATGGAACCATCTTTTAGCATGTAAGATAGTGGATATTCCGTCTTTGCGTGTTGCAGAGTTATCTACTCTTGGGAGCAGGTATTGATTGTTACGTTATTGGTTTGTGCGAGAAAATTACGTCGTTTTCTCAAAAATTGATGACGTTACTCTCACAAACAAGTGACGTAACAATCAATACCTGCTCCCAAGAGAAGATAACTCTGCAATACGCAAAGACGGAATAGGTACATTTGAGGTCAAATCTTACGATTTGGATCACACCGTGCAGTGACTGACAGGCTGTGGAATTGTAGATAGTGCTATAGGGCTATCCATCTAGTGGCGACCAGGTCCGTCATGGATGACATAGAGATAGGAACGAGAGTGTGAACTTCCCAAAACAGACAGAGCTAGGTAACTGCCATATGGTACATCTAGTAGTGTTGTTTAGGTAGGGAAATGTTAGCTTATTTAGAATTATATAGAATTTTATTCGGAAGTTAGGAGTCGGAGTCTCAAGTTGAGAGATGGGGATTCAAGGTTCGGGAATGTGAGCCTCTGGAAAAAGAGGCCAGGGAAGGGAAGGGGCCAGGTATGGCCCGGATAGAGCACTTTGTGTGCTTTAGAGTTATGTGTTTGTTGTAACCTTTATAATCTGTGCGCATGTAGATTTGCTGTCGTGTTCCAGAACTATGATAAAAAGGACATTTGTTAAATTTTAGAGAGATCTTACAAAGAGGGCCTACTCGAGGTATGGACCCTGACTGCCACGGCCACAAGGTGAAGTTAATAGAATTCTAAGTCCACATGTGTTGTTCAGTGTGTTGTGTAACACTTGTAACGTTCAATGGTCAGGCTTTGATATGATAACTCCAGCTTTGGCGATTTTCCGTGGTTAGTGCAGTGACATATATGTTTGTTTCTTATTAAAAAGCTACTTACTACAAACAAAACAGAAATATCTTAAAGTTGTTTTTTATGTCTTTATTTCAATACTAAAAAGAAGTAGAGCTCCATTATACCAGATCAATCGGTCAAGATGTTCGTACTTGGACCATACTTCTTTTGTATTAAATATAAAAATCAGACAGCAACATGCTCTCTGCATCAACAAGCACAGATGAAAAGCATATATTAAACATATAATAATCGAAAAGGTTATAAGATTGGATATATATAGTATGGCATCAACAAAGTCAGGAGAACAAGAATCATACTAGTTATACATGTGTATGGACTTTTACATCCATAACCTCAACGTTAAAAACCCATAAGTCTGCATAAACTTTCTGTGTTCCGAACTTTAAATGTGATGTCAAATTTTAACCATATCTCCAAAAATTCAAAAATGCTTTTTGTTTTTGGCATTTTTCCTATCGAAATTTAATATTTTCAAAAATCTATCAGAATCCATGGATTCTGAATAAACTTCTTTCTTCTTTAACTCATTCACCCCTGAAGACACATTTGAACTCTTCCAATTCAAAGGTTGGAATAGTTTATTATGAAATTTCAGGGGTGAATGAGATAAAAAAAAACTGCAGTGATTTTCTTTGAAAGTCACAAAGTATCAATATAACATCCTTTCAGTAGAGGTTTTTCAGCATAATATACTGATAGCACAATACAAATTAATGTATTTTTCTGTCATTAATTGGTGAAAATGTCTTACAAAGTTTGACTCAAGCACCGCCAAGATCATTGAAAGTCACACCAGGTGGACAAGACAGGCTGTGACAATGAGTGCGAGAGCCACTACGAAGTATCCACTGTTGTAGGTGTCCTTTAGGCTGAATCCTTTAGCCCAGTCCCACGCCTGAAACAACACAAGGGGTCAAGAGTTCATAATATCTGACCAAGAAAGAAAAACTTATGAAAACAGCATATGTGAAAATAAATAATTATGCGGTAAAAGGATTAAACGTAGGAAATATTATGAACAAATTCTTAGTTCTCCATAAAGATTTTTACATTTTATTAAGAACACATTGCACTTATTTTTAGTTTTGTTGACCTCTCCAATTCAAGAGCCCATGTCTTCAAAGTTTAATATGCCCCAGGAAATGTTTATAGGTATTTTGGGATGTCTAATTTCATAAGTTGTAATATATATTTTTTGAAATGACAAGATCAAACTAGTAACGGTTTATTCTGATGAAAATTTCTCTTGTAATGTATCCAACACTGGTGAAAAAAACATGTAACAATGTAACATAGAGATAGGGTTAGGGTTGTTTCCTCCAGGACAAGTTCTTACCTACATAGCCGAAGTTAAAAGCTGTTTCAGAGGTTAGAAAATATGTTGAAGTTTTGACAGTGATAACAGGATAATAAATGTATATCTAGTTTAGATGTCAAATTAACTGATCTTTCCTTGTAGTTTCTGAGGAAATTATTACCTTTATATTAAGTATTTTCAATTCTATCTTTTCACCATAAAATTCCTAATTCTAAGAATGTAATTTAAGGCTTCATGCTACACTACACATTTTAACTGTTTAAGTTGTTTCCCTTCACATTTTAAATAACAATTAGGTATTACCTAATAATTTAGAATAGTTTAAGAGTTAAAATTGCTTTATTCATCTTTCAAATACAGAGTTAGTAATCAATTAATATGATACATAAAAGTCATTCTACATTATCTCACAAAGTGGAACCTTTTGAAAACATGATTCTGGTCAAAGTAAGACAGAACTTACCAAAACACAGGTCTGGAAAATAATTTTGAATACCAACAAGATAAGCAAAATCTAATTTTGACAAGTCATTCACACTAGCAACTAGTCCAGCTGCAGGTTTCACTAGTCTCAGACTATCCATCCTCGGTATCCAGGGGTTACGTTCACTTTCGCTCTCTACACCCCTGGAATATGTCATAGCAAAATTGAAGACACAAACATAGCTGTTTGATTGGTCTCGGGTAAAAATACTGACCAATCACTAGATCGATACCTGTCCTTTGAAGATTACAAAGGAGAGATACCTAACTTCAAAGCATGTCAATTTTTACCGTTAGGTGACCGCGGAATTCTTTTGATGTACATCAAAGGATCGAACTAGTCTTCTTGTCTCATCAAGAAGGTGGCAAACACGAAGCCTTCAATTTTGCTCTGACATACTCCAGGGGTGCAGAGAGCGAAAGTGAGCTTAACCCATGGAAATTGAGGATGCAGACTACCGGGCTACCCTTATTATCTAACCCTCAGGCTGTTAATATAAGAAAAGACTGTATACCTATTTTGAGAAATTGATTGCCCTGATGTAGCTAGCCAAGGATTGCACACTCACCAGATGACGAACACCATTGATGTAGTGGTAAGTGAAGGGAAATGCCACTATGTATTTACAGGCAATCACACTTGCTGGACCCAGATGAACAGCATTTAGGTAAGAGGTGAAATCTCCAGGTGCAACCATCATGCCAGCCGCTACTACTGGAATAGCTGTCAAAAAACAAACATTGGTTACTGAGGGCAGTGTATGAGCTTTACATTAGACCCATAGACAATCACCATAAAAAACACGATAGATCTGAGGGCAGTGTATGAGCTTTACATTAGACCCATAGCCAATCACCATAAAAAACACGATAGAGCTGAGGGCAGTGTATGAGCTTTACATTAGACCCATAGATAACCACCATGAAAAACACTGTAGATCTGAGGGCCGTGCATGAGCTTTACATTAGCCCCATAGACAATCACCATGAAAAACACGGTAGGGCTGAGGGCAGTGTATGAGCTTTACATTAGACCCATAGCCAATCACCATAAAAAACACGATAGAGCTGAGGGCAGTGTATGAGCTTTACATTAGACCCATAGCCAATCACCATAAAAAACACGATAGAGCTGAGGGCAGTGTATGAGCTTTACATTAGACCTATAGACAATCACCATAAAAAACACGATAGATCTGAGGGCATTGTATGAGCTTTACATTAGACCCATAGACAATCACTATGAAAAACACTGTAGATCTGAGGGCAGTGGATGAGCTTTACATTAGACCCATAGACAATCTCCATGAAAAACACGGTAGATCTGAGGGCAGTGTTTGAGCTTTACATTAGACCCATAGACAATCACTATGAAAAACACTGTAGATCTGAGGGCAGTGTATGAGCTTTACGTTAGACCCATAGACAATCACCATGAAAAACATGGTAGATCTGAGGGCAGTGTATGAGCTTTACGTTAGACCCATAGACAATCACCATGAAAAACTCTGTAGATCTGAGGGCAGTGTATGAGCTTTCCATTAGCCCCATAGACAATCACCATGAAAAACACTGTAGATCTGAGGGGAGTGTATGAGCTTTACATTAGACCCATAGAAAATCACCATGAAAAACACTGTAGATCTGAAGGCAGTGTATGAGCTTTACATTAGACCCATAGCCAATCACCATAAAAAACACGATAGAGCTGAGGGCAGTGTATGAGCTTTACATTAGACCTATAGACAATCACCATAAAAAACACGATAGATCTGAGGGCAGTGTATGAGCTTTATATTAGACCCATAGACAATCACCATGAAAATCATGGTAGATCTGAGGGCAGTGTATGAGCTTTACGTTAGACCCATAGACAATCACCATGAAAAAAACTGTAGATCTGAGGGCAGTGTATGAGCTTTACAATAGACCCATAGACAATCACCATGAAAAACCCGGTAGATCTGAGGGCAGTGTATGAGCTTTACATTAGACCCATAGCCAATCACCATAAAAAACACGATAGAGCTGAGGGCAGTGTATGAGCTTTACATTAGACCTATAGACAATCACCATAAAAAACACGATAGATCTGAGGGCATTGTATGAGCTTTACATTAGACCCATAGACAAGCACCATGAAAAACACGGTAGATCTGAGGGCAGTGTATTAGCTTTACATTAGACCCATAGACAATCACTATGAAAAACACTGTAGATCTGAGGGCAGTGTATGAGCTTTCCATTAGCCCCATAGACAATCACCATGAAAAACACGGGAGATCTGAGGGCAGTGTATGAGCTTTACAATAGACCCATAGACAATCACCATGAAAAACATGGTAGATCTGAGGGCAGTGTATGAGATTTACATTAGACCCATAGACAATCACCATAAAAAACACGATAGATCTGAGGGCAGTGTATGAGCTTTATATTAGACCCATAGACAATCACCATGAAAATCATGGTAGATCTGAGGGCAGTGTATGAGCTTTACGTTAGACCCATAGACAATCACCATGAAAAACACTGTAGATCTAAGGGCAGTGTATGAGCTTTACATTAGACCCATAGCCAATCACCATAAAAAACACGATAGAGCTGAGGGCAGTGTATGAGCTTTACATTAGACCCATAGAAAATCACCATGAAAAACACTGTAGATCTGAAGGCAGTGTATGAGCTTTACATTAGACCCATAGACAATCACCATGAAAAACACTGTAGATCTACTGGAATAATTTACTTCAAGTTGTCAAGTTGTCTGTTTAGTTATTTTCTATAATGAACTTAATTAAATGATAAGAATAGCAAAAATGTTCACTGTGAAATTAATTGTTGACTCCTTTACACAATATTCTTTTCTTTATTACATGTTATTGACGCTGAATATATCGAATTACTTATTAATTGATATGTTTTTGTAAGCAAGTAATGTAAAATTTTGCTAAAATGAATTGATGTATGCAGATATGCGCACACGTGTGTCATGTGTGATCAGATATTTCAAAGGCAAACAAACAACAAAATACACATTTTACACAGTTTCTTCTTAGTTTCAACATCATTGTACCTGTAAACAATACTTATGAACTAACTTATAATAAACAAATTACAAAAATCCCAAGAATCCCAAGTGGTGTGTCTTTCAGTTTCAGAGATTGATTTTCGGAACTAGAACATCGTTTTTTTTCCCTTTCCCCTAAAAATATTTTGGTGCGCAAAATATTTGAGTAGAAGCTTTTTTGGGGATTTTCAGCCTCAAAAAGTACCTGCGCAAATTACATAGGTGCGCAAATTACATGGGCTTTTACGGTAAGTAAAATTTTCTTTGTCAAGGTCTGGTCCATCAAAATTTCAGTAGGTCTATAAGAAATCTGTATCTCATAGAATTATTTTCTATGGTGAGCTTTTACTAAATTCTAAGAATGTGAGGATGTGGCATCTTCTTAATCAAGAGGTTCGGCTCTAAAAACACCTATTTTGATCTACACCCTTGTATATATGTCGTGACAAAAACAAATTTTGAAGCCAAGCAGTTAATAAGCTATTTGATTATTTTCAAGAATAATAAAATACCAATTGCTAGGCTGATACCTGTCCTTTGAACATTGGAGAGGAGCAACACATGACTTCCTTTTTTTTATTCAAATCCATCTATAATTTAAACTGGACCGCAACAGGCAAAGCTTATACAGTATACGACTTCCTACATTATATCAATATCTGAATAAAGGGCAAAACATGGCCAGAGTATCATTATCATGTACAGATTTCAAACTTTCAACTCATCTTTTGACAATTTGGCATTCCATATTTAAAGGAGGTAATCTTGGTCATGGGGAAGACAGATCACATACTTTTGGCATTCCATATTTAACCCTTTCACCCTTATGTAACTTTAGTAGACTCTACCATGCATTGATCTGGAGGAGTCCATTATGGTCTACAGTGTTGAAAGGGTTAAAGGTAATCTACGTCTGGGGGAAGACAGATCACATACTATTGTAACAGGAGAGGAAATATGCACGTTCCGACCGGGGTCCAGACTGGGATTCAAGCCGGGACCTTACAAACCCTAGACAGACACTCTACCAAATGAGCTACCATAAAGCATTAACAATTTAGTCTTAAGATAGGATGAATTGTATTTTAGGTTTTGATAGACCCTGCCATGCCTCTGTATGTAGCTGTTGTGAATGTGTTTGAAATATTTGAAGAAGTACCCCCAGGAACACATCCCAATCCAGTCCCCACCTCCCCCCTCCCAAACAAAAATAAATCCAGTGCTCTACTTACCAACAGCCATGGCTATGCCTGTGGCTCTGTGACCAAGTGACAACATAGAGGTCAGCTGTGGACTGTAACACAAATTCATCATTTAATGACATAATTAAAAGTAACTGTAAGTGGCTGAAATATCACCATTTCACACTGACATAGCTACAGAAATCTGTTTTACTTTATTCCTCATTTATTCCCTCATGAATATTGAAACCCCAATATCAACATTATTTTGACTTGTAACAGTTCATGTAAAAAAAGGTCAACAAGAATATTTAAACTATATATAGAGAGGATCTGTCATAAGTTCCCCTTCATATTAGATTTATGATACAAGTTTTGGATTTTTCAAGTTCGCGAGCCTCTGACAAGCAAATATAAAAAATCTAAAACGAGTACAGTATCATAAATCTAATATTAAGGGAAACGAATGACAGATTCTTTTGATCCTATAATACCAAGTAAACTGTATAAATGTGATCTGAAACGAATATTTTGCACTTGGCCACCTCTGAAATGAAGAAAATTGCGTCCGCTTAACAATGACGTGACGTCACATTGATTTTTCCTTTTCGATTGTGACGTCATTTTCAGGTGATATTATACACGTTACATAAACATAATTTATGTGATGGCTTTATGACACTGCATAACACAGTATTCATATAATAAATATATATGTATATAGCGTTCACAAACAATGATATTCTCATAGTTTCAGTTTTATACTGCACTACATCAAACATCTGCTGGTCTTACCTATAGATCGATAAATGAGGAGACATTGGTCGGTTGAGCTTTTTGTTTTTTTGCCAGAAATCCTTCATTTCATCGTAGGCTTGTGATGATGATGGCTGTATGCTGTTGAAAGGAAGTTGATTATATATAACTATTAAAGTATCACTTACATGACATAAGGCTGCTTTCATAACAAATTGTTTTAGTTTTCAAAATAAATTTGATTTTTAACATAAAAAACAATATTTCAAGACAATTAACTAGCATATGCATAGAACCACATATCCAGATACATTTATCAAGTTTTTTGCAAAAACCATTCTATTAATAATCTAAAGTTTGATGCCTTTTATCTGTATCCATCTTTGGTCTGTCTGCACTATGTTTTTTTTAAATTAACACATAAATACTATTTTCATGAGTAAATTAAGTTATTTAAAACTGTATTGATAGACAATTAGATAGAACCTTTTTTTTCGCATTTTATCAATTGAATAATGTTCTCTAAAAAGAACAGAGAATCCATCAAAGCTAAAATATATATTTTTTTCTTTCTTTCTGTCATTTAAATCTTTATCAACCAAAACTTATCAATATGTTCCTAGTTAACTTCCTATTTTTTTCCAAATGTGAAATACTTCTTAATGTGAACAGCTAGTTAAATAACAGGTACAATGTATACATGTACATAAAATATTTCTATCATTCATGATAGATAGCTTCCTCAATACTCAAGGGGTTATGCTCACTTTCGCTCTCTGCATCCTTAGATTATGTCATGGCAAAACCGAAGACTCAGTGTGCACCACCTTGTTGTTGAGACAAGAAGATCCTTTGATGTACATTGAGGTAAAATTGACTGCCTTTAAAGCTGGTTGTCTCTCCTCTGTAATCTTCAATGGACATGTATCAGCCTTGCGATTGGTCATTTTTTTTTGCGTCCGAGACCAATCAAACACCTACATTGTAGCCGCATGCCTTCACTTTTGCTATGACATATTACTGGGGTGCACAGAGCGAAAGTGAGCATAACCCCTTGAGTATCAAGAATGGATAGATAGCTATGTGATCAAAATAATATATGGACTTTGTAGTGTTATTGGGACTTTATTATAATATATAAACATTACCATTTTGTTATCACCAATCTGTTGTGTCCTAGAAGTCCTTTTCTGCCAAGACTCCTGAAAAGAAAACAGCAGGATCAAGTTAGGGCAATAAAACGTTGTTATTTTTTAATTAAAATTTAATTAATTTTCACCTGTCAGTGATGTCAAATGATCACAATTATCGCAATGATTAAATTTTACAGGGACTTGAAGATGTAACAGAAGAAATAGAAATACAACGGCCAAACCAGGGTTCAAACCCGGACCCTATATGCAACCAACTGAGCTACCTGGTTGGTGATGATCGACCAAATCTAGTTTTACTACATTCCTCCTTCCATTTTAAGTCTTGGCCACTTAAAGACATGTCTATTTAAAACCGAGTGCTAGGAACAAGGGTTTGCATGCTCGCCAATTTTGTAACAGGAAAAAGAGAAATGCAACGGCCATACCAGGGTTCAAATCCAGCACCCTCCAAACTCTATACAGAGGCTCTACAAGTTGAGCTACCTGGTCGCAGACAATTCATAATCATGATCATTTAGATCAGAGTCAGGCAACAGGGTTTTCCCTGGCAAAATTAATTTTGGTGCATGAATTTGGTGGAACAAATCAATCACTGTAGAATTACAACCTCTTCTGCCAAACCCAGTAAGCATTTTTTTTTAACGACCCTATGAAAGATGTTCTGACTTCATCTCTGTCTGCATAAAAAAATCAGTAAAAAGGGGATAGACTAGCTGGATCATGGATTGATGCATTTAGCTGCAATAACGTAGCTTTCTGACGACAAGATTTTTTTTTATATATTGCGTCGTCAGAGCTACGAAACGGTCCTATGCCAAATAATGGAGCAAAATCAAAAGTGCTAATCTGTAAGATTACATATAATTCATGCCTCATATGAGTTTTCATGTTCTTTCACGAAATTAGCCAAGTTCGTCTTTGGGGGAACAGTGACAAATGGTGTCGGAGAATTCCACGTTTTTATAGCAGTGCGCTCTAGCCCCACACCAGACATCTACGTGACAAAATGTCAAAATCTGGTGTCAGGGCCAGAGGAAACTCGCGCTACCATATAGACGTCTGACCTATATCGGAAGAGAGACGAAGTTTCCAACATGGCAGTCAATTCATATTTCGATTCCCCTTGAGACGTTAACTTTATAATTTAACGACATTTTAGGCAAGTTTAACTTGAAGTTAAATAGGATATCAACAGAAATAATTCATATTACAACCCTTTTTATGGATGTCAATCCTATTAATGGGGTCAATTAATTCTAAAATCGCCCCGGAGTGATTCACATCGGACTGGCTTCATTAAAAGGCATGGGATCGACAGATCTAGAGGAGGCCGGGTATTACTACTATTAAATGTAAGTACTCGCTTGGACGTTACACAATCAAATGTTCATGGTCGACATTACGATTTGACGAACGACATATTCTTTTAAATCTGAAATCATGTAAAATGTAAGCATGTGCCATTCAACCTCTTCAATAATGGCTATCAATGAAGAAGAGATTTTATTATAGACCGGTAAATGAATGCCATTATAGCAAACAACAGGCCAAGGACAAATGAAAAAAATCAAATCGCTGGAATCGGCAAGCTTTAATATTGACACTTTGATGTTTAGCAGTTCATGAATATGTTATTGTAAACAGCATGTCAGAAACCAAGCCTTCGCTTTTATTTTGGGACCTATCGAATCCGTGTAACGTTTTAGATTGATATAAAACAAATATCAAGTGCTAATTTTCGTTTCTCACCTTAGTAAAAGCGCCATCTTGAATATGTATTTGGTGTTTTCTAGGTTTTACCTCATTCCCCAAGGCAAAGTCCGAGGTTTATCGATCCATTTACAATTCTCGTCTAGTCTCGTGCAATCTTTGCGAGATTTACGAACCGGAGGCGCCAGAATCAAAACAGTCGGCACCAGACAACAAGTTTGTGGTAGAGTATATTGAACGCAACCAATGCTTGATGTCACACTTGTTCAATTCATTAAGCATCTATTTTAAGTTTAAAATTATGCATAATGTGTTTCCTTTTGTATCTCTTAAACTTCTCTGTGTATTAGATTTTCTGTGTTCGAACCGGTTCAAAAATAAATGTTACATTTTTAGGGATAAAGCCTGGCTGATTTGTAGTGGTTGATATAAAAGCTAAGGCTCTCCATAAAGTGACATAACATCATAAGATTTATTTCTACAGAATAAAAAAAGTAGATGATAAAACAAGTGACTTTTTTTGCTCAGATATACTGCCGACCGAATACAGGTTGTTTTTTCCCCGAGCTGAAAGTGCCTTATTTTCCCCCCCAAAAAAACAAAACTGAGGTTACATTCCCAATTTCAATGCCAATGGGCCCACAGTTATGCTATATTTTCCCAATTTATAAACAGCTTGTTGTAAAATATGGCTATCACAATATATGGTAAAACAGGTATATCACAATACATGGGTATATCGTATATATATTGTACCATCAATACAGAGATGAAAAATTGCTGTATCAAAAACTTATCCGCTTGGGGTTTTAACTTTGCAAATTACCAACTGCAATGTCTCATTTAGGGGAAAAAATCAGTTATGTTTTTGGTTACTAACCATTACATTATCTCACAGATTTTTATTTTATTGGTCCATATATATTTGTATAAAATAATTTTGTAATTATAACCAAACCATCTGAGCTCTGTATATAGTCGGCAAGTAAATGTTGTGTAACTAAATGTATGTGTTAACCCATTATCAGGTCGGGAAAAACCACTAACTTGCGCATAATACGCAAACTCTCCTATTATACGCCAATAGGTGTATGGATTTGTTACTAAAAATAGCCCAAATCACTTGAATCTTAACTTTTTCACATTGTTTGTCCAAGTCGCATTAATTAAGTCATGAAACATAATACAAATGCAAAAATAAAGTGTATTTGCATGTGGGAAAGTACCAAAAACAGATGCAATACTTCCGGAAAAATTACATCAAGTTTCTAAGTAGCCAACGTTCAGTAAACATCTTTTAGCAAAATGTTATTTACCTTGTCGTAAATTAATGCGATTTTTAATAATATCTTGCAAAAGTTACTGTTAAAGCGATTTGTGTTACTTTTAGTAACACATCCTTGCTCCAACTGGCGTATAATAGGCAAGTTTGCGTATTATACGCAAGTTGTGGTTTTCTCCAACCTGATTATCAGTGGGCAGGAAATAGAAAAGCGGAAAACAGTATGGCTACATTCATGATTCGTTTCCCTGACAACATATTCTATAAAACTTGATATTTGACATATCAGAATCATTGAGTCTTAATTACATATATTTTTTTTTTTACAGATTATCAGATCAGGTTAAGCAGTTGGTCTTTGCTGAGGAATTCCATTATGCCTGTGGAACAGATTTCCTACTCGGAGAAGTACTTTGATGAACATTTTGAGTACAGGTATATTGATGGTAGAAAAAAAGAACTCTAATGCACAGTAGAAGTGTCTTACCATTTAACTTTCATTTTGGAACAGTCACAAACGGTCAGTCGTATAAGAACTACTGGACAGATCTGATTATATTTCATAAATAGGTTCTCCTTGTCATAGCTTAAGTAGGATTTTAACATCATGTAACAGTGGTTATCAAAAATTGGAAAAAAAAATATTGTTAGGTAATTAGACTGCAAAACATATAAGGTTAATCTGTACAACACCTGTTTGTTTAATTGCATTCTGTTTATTATCTCCTTTTAAACTGTAACTGACATCTCACCAGTAATGATTGTACTTAGTCCAAATTATTCTGACGTTTTATCAACATTTTTTTATATTCGGTCTGGCGTCGACTAATCGAACACTGACATAAAAACCCGTTAAATCGTCAGAATCATTTGGACTACACTACTATTACCAAACAGAAATTGCATTTCTGACCCTCTTTATCAACAATTAATACATCTCCTAATGTGTTTTATTTTTAACAGAGCAGTGAATTTTTTAAGGCAAATTCTGGCCATTTCCCTGAATAACTTCTGCTGTATTTTGTAAAAATCACCCTTTCCCCCCAAATATAAGGCATTTTGTTTGACAATGTGTGCAATATTTTATAAAGACATGGCACAGCCCCCTTCGGAAAGTGGTAGAAGAAATCACTGCCATTAACTTCAAATATCTAAAAAAAAAAAAAACTATGATGATATTATATTTCATGTTTGTAAAACATCTTTTGGGGAAAAAACAATAACCTACTATAATTAAAAAAAAAAAAGTTGAACATATTGAACTAAACATGTATACATGTCTCACAGTAAATTAATCATATCTATTAATTGTGTAAGATATAGTGATCTGGATGGTGTTTCTTTGAAACATTTAAAAATAAAAGTCATTAACACATTATATTGTTTGTTCAAAATTTGTAACAAATACATGCATATAATTATGTGTAAGAGCAAGGATTAATTTTTATTAATTTATTTTTTGTGAGACAGACATGTGATCCTGCCACCCGACATTGCCAAGCTTGTGCCAAAGAATCACTTGATGACAGAAACGGAGTGGAGGAACATTGGGGTACAGCAGTCCCCGGGCTGGATACACTACATGGTCCACTCACCTGGTGAGTATGACTCTTGTGGAAATTATTCATAATTAATTGGCAAGCAATGATTTACAAGTTTAAAAGGACAAGAATAAAAATAAATAAAGCACTGGTTCTTTTGGGTATTAAGTAGTTTTGATTAGTACTTGTCAGAAATTGGAATATAATAGTTTAAAGTTATTCATAAACACGTTGCATGTATTATAATTCCACAGAATTAGCCTTTATGAGTGTCTTTTGTGAAAAAACTAACTTTTCACCTGTTAGTATTGTGCTCATAATCAATATTCAAATATACAAAAACTAATGTCCAAAGGGCTAATGACACAGATTTTCTCTTGCCTGAAGACCAAATCTTCTAGCCTCAGGCCTTTGGAATCCCAATTCAGTGTCATGGCTCTTGTAACTTCTTTTCTTAGAAGCTTTTGATCAAATTAAAAGGTCGAGTGTGAGAATGTATCAGACTGATTGTGTGTCAGGGTACCACATTCAAGACCAAGTCACTTTAGTGCTGTTTATAGAAATTTGTCAACTGATTCAGTACCATCACTCTAACAACTTCATTATTTTAGTGGATTGGATCAAACTATATATCGATGAATATGATGTTTCAGAGTGCCCAGTTGAAAGCCACTGTTAGATAGATAATTTGTAAACAGTGGAATCAATTCACATGGTCAAGAACAAAATCATGTTATACAGACACTTCTCTTGTTTTTAGACTGGATTCTAACTTGTGTGAAAACATGAAAATTGCCTGAACGTTCAATATTTTTCTGTTTTAGAACCACATGTGCTGCTGTTTCGGCGTCCAGTTCCACAGGCACAGAAACCCCAGAAAATGCCCCAGGCAATTCCTACACAGGTCCACTAGGAGGTCATTCTAAAACCTGCTTGTTCTGTGGATAACTAAATGACAAATTGGAGGTCTGGGAGACTAGTGCTGTCCAGCTTCACAGAGAACAGTGGCAGATGATGTTCAGTGTGTATCTGGAAAATAAGTGTGTCAGATGGACCAACATGTACAACACATAAGCATCATGCATTCGTCAGAGCCTTAGTTGAAAAAAAATGAAACAAATTTTGTACGATTTTGTGTTTTGCCTTAGAATGGCATGAATATTTGAAGTCATTTTCAAACCCTTATAAACATTCCATGAAAGTAGATCTAATTTTCATAGTTTATAACTTATTGTGGGAACAAAGTTAAACAGAAGTATGTCAGATTTTGTTTATTGTCTTAGAATAGCTTTTTTGGTGCTTAATATTCATAATAGTTTATGAAAACATGATGCCTACAATTTGTTGATTACTTTGTCTATCACTCAACTTCAACTGAGGCTTTGACAAAGTTGTTGATGTTGCCTGTACTCGTACATGGTGAGCTAGCCCACCACAAAGAGAAGTGGGAAATAATACATGTAGTACTGTACTTTACCTGAGATAAGCCCAATGTGTGTTTGGGAAGTGGTTGAGGGATTGTCTTTAGAAAGATGGCAAAGGGTCCTAGATCAAATTCTTTACTTTTTTTGGTAAAATTTCCCACCAAGATAGATTTTTTTTTATCTTTTAACATTCCCTTCTGAACTAAAGATTTTAACTGATTTTATAAACAATTCCCCAAAACTGATCATTTTCCAGAAGTTTCCTTTTCAATGCATTAAAAGATTTTAAAATAAAATCAGTAAATAATATTAAAATGAATAGGAGCTGAGAAATGTATTGGCTGCTCGCAAAGGCCCTATACCACGGATAATAATTTGTGAACCGTTTTGAGACGACCTACAAACTAGGTTGTGATAAAGCGGTATATAAGAACCTCCAATTATTATTATCATTATAGGCATACAGGTAGGAAAGAATGATTTTTTTGTATCTATATATAGATAAACTGAGCTAAAACATTAGTTTTTCGTCAACTGAAGATCATGTAATTTTTTTTAAATTCCTACTAAACTGCAGAAAGAATAGATTGGTACTTGTCCCTCCCTCATTTTGATTGATATGCAGAAAGGTTTTATTTCCAAATATGATAAGCTCTTAATGACTTCAATTGTTGATAGGTCAAAAACAATATCAAAACAAAATCCACTTACTGGTATGATTCTAATATCATAAATGATGGGGGGGGGGGGGCATTGTCAAGCATGGGCTTATTACAGGCACTGTACAGTTCTGTGTACATATATTATGAACATTGTTGACATTACAGAATCTCAACATTTGTAGTTTATACCAGTATTATAGTAAGGTATGATTATTATAGACTTCATTTTTCCTGAAATACATAGATATAAATTCCATGTAGCCTCGTGCAGGAAATATGTCATACTTGATATTTTTATTACCCCTTAGATTAAATCCATATACCCATTATGCATTCTTAAAGGTGATTTGAGTTGAACACCTCCAGTCAAATAATGTACATGTATTGGCATTGCTTCATCAAATTTGACAGTATGGAAGTACAGCAATATTATGGCTGAGTTTATTAACATGTTGATAATAATTGCATGTATTTAAGGTAGTGTCATAGTGCTCTATGTTCTATCTCCAAAGAAGGAGAGTTCCAATTTGTTCAGCATCTTTATACTTTTGTGACAAAATACTGGGAATAATTGCAGAGTGTTCTAATTTTGATTAAAAGAAATGGCCTGCAACTTTAAAATATCTGTATTGAAGCTGAATAAAGAGGAAAACATCAAGAAAGTCCTGCAAATTATGGTTTTTATTATATCAAAATAAGAGTCATTTTGTAAAACATAAATACATTTTAAACAGTACTAGTGGTACAGGTATACTTAAAACATATAGCTGGAATAAAGGTTTCAGTGATCTCTTCACTGTGGCAAGGAAAGTTATCTCCCTTAGAGTGTGTTATTGCTGTATGTCGGCCAGTAAAACTGCAATGTATTTTCTCTCTGGAGTAGTGAATACTGTATATGATTTGTTACCCTTACCTGTTTAAATTATATTATCTTTGTACAAAGATGTTGTGACTGTTATATATATGATTGTTGACTGATGTTTTAATGCTGGGTTCTGTCAATTTTCGTTTATATTGAATTGTTAAATGCTATAAGAAGTTTGTTTCTTTGATGTTAAGAGTTGAAAATGTCTTTATCATTTATATGATTATTTCTTAGCATAAAAAAGGAAAGTACATGCAATACATCCTGCTATCAAAATTTTTGAAAAAATCTTTTCATTATTGTGAAAATGAATTCAATATTTCTCCGTTGTTGTAAACTGATTTATAATTACCTTAAAAGTTTGATTCTATTATTGAAAATTTGGTAAAGGTGAAATTTGGCAAGACCCCTCTTCAAATCTGAAGTCCTCGAGTGCTTTGATTTTATGGTGCTGTTACGGTAGACCAATGTTAGAAGTCTAACAACTTTGTATGTAGAGAACTGTTTGATTGTTAAAGTTCTAGTTACCTGTGTCAGATATAATGCTGATTAACTAACCCTTGTTAACTTGTCATCCAAAATAACCATGTTGTTCATAAACAATTCAGTCTGTGTTTGTATTTTGCTGTATTGGAAAACATTTGATATTTTGATTTTAATTTTTCATATATTTAGTAAATTTTTTAAAACTAGAATTAAATATAAAATATGTTTAAAAACTGTTCCTAAATGTTCTATATAGAAAGCTTAAAGATTGGAGGCACACAATATATTTAATATTCAAGCTGAATTATGTGATGCATGTAGTCTGAATTAGCGTGCAAACATCACTACACAGACATCATGCAAAAAACCCATGACCAAGATTTACATATTGTTATCTCCCTTTAAATGTTAAAGATCAATTAAGGTTTACCTGACTTTTTTTCAGTTCATACATTCTTTTGAACCTTTAAAATGTTTCCAAGTCTTAACAAACATTCCTATAGAATTAAGGCTTTTTACAGTGTACTTCTTTTTGATGGGATATCTATATATGTCTTATATCCTAAAACAACTCCCACAAAATTCCTTTTTTTTATTTAATTTTAACATTATTACATTTAGAAATAGAAAGTTTTACTAGAATACCCTTCATGTTGCCAAGAACTTACATAAAGGTATTTAATATTTTAGTTTTCAATGACCACTCAACTTGTATATTCATAATTTCAAAGATTTTACTGTATATTATCTGTTAGCTGATTTTCATTTCAAGCCGAAAAATAGAAACAGAACTTAAAATATATAACTTGGATTGATTTATTTGCGTACGGTTATTTTAGATAGCTTATTAAATTTTTTAATTATTGTTTTTTGTGTGGTGCAATTTTGTTTTGATTCAGTCCAGGTTCTAGACTGAATTTTATTTTATATCTCCGTATAGTTGTTAGCTAGATTTTTATTGTAAACTTCCTTGACTGAATATGTTTCTCAAATGTCATATTCATGTGTTTTTATGTAAATATGATTATTATATTAAACAACTGGTTTTTATAATAAAAAAAAAAAAATATATACGTTTCTGATTTAAAATTTATCTGGATGATTACTCCAAAAATCTTTGTATTTCTGATATTAATCTGCAGTCGTCAAAATTTGTGTTGGAAAAATTAAACTTTCGCTTAAGTTTTTTAAAATAATTAATTTAATAAATTCTGTGAATGCATCGTATGGTACCTCGTAATTGGTTATTTCACAGAACCAATTGACAGTCGATGGCTATGTGTAACAAATATAGCATGATATTTCACATATTCCGTCTTTGCGTATTGCAGAGTTATCTTCTCATGTGAACAGTTATTGATTGTTACATCATTTGTTTGTGAGAGTAACGGCATCAATTTTTGAGAAAACGACGTAATTTTCTCGCACAAACCAATGACTAACAATCAATACCTGCTCACAAGAGAAGATAACTGTAATACGCAGAGACGGAATAAGAAAAGTAAAAAAAAAACGGCAGTAACAAAAAAAATGGAAAATTAAATAAATCTGTTATGCAATTCCTTACACTTCGTCATGGGATGTGTACAAATTATTGTAGAGATTTCGAATTACATGTACAATATGTAACAGAAACAAATCTTATTTTCTCAATAAAAGAAACCAGTTCATTGACATTAGTGCGCTCGCAGTTTATTTAGGGCTTTCTATTTTAGTTAAGTTATGAGGTGACAACTCCAGTTGAGCACGTGTTAATTGAATAGATGTCTTTAAAATAAAATAAAAAAACCACTTTAAATTTACAGTCTTCTTAATAATAAGTAAAAACTTTTTTTTAAAGTGTCGAAGCTAATTAATCAGGAAAGAGTTAAATGGTCAGCGCTTTCTTTTGGAATGACTCCTATAATTCGACATTTGTTAAAACTTTCCTGATACTATAAAATGATTTTCTTCGCAGTCGAAATTTATTTGGTGAATTTACCATGGAAATACAGTGTAATCAGCGTGAACGTATCCCAATTCAAAAAAAAATAAACACAAGACCGACATACGATTTTAAAAAAAAAGTTTTTTTTTCGTTTGCTTCGACTTCTAATTTTCAATTGAATAGGCTTACTCGTATTTGTGACGGTTATTTTGATATTTACATTTATCACCAACACATCAGTTATATTTTTTCACGAAAGAAACAAACACTGCATGAACTAAACCAAGCTTTTTAAAAAGTGCTAAAAGATTGCTGAATATACCGCGACATTTTTCGCTGCAATGTAACTTTCGCCCTCCGTAATGAGGGTAAATTTATCATGAGAGCAAAGCAATTTAACATTGGACGAAAATGGATTTTGCCGTCAAATGGCGAGAAGTTTACGGTGTACAGTATCACCTTCAAAACACTATTAATAAAAGGTACATGATATTTGGAGGTAAGGAAAACTTTGCAGCAAAAACAAGATAATATGACATTAAAGTAAGGCTGCTAGTAAAATATCGCAGCTAAGAGGAAAATAAGTACATAAACGAACTGTTTTTATACGTATATGTTTATTTTTATCTACTGTTATTTTAGATGAATTCCAATAACTTAATCCCTCAACTAATCTAAATGCTAAAATATAATCACCACAAAATAATTATTATCACCGCTTAAATATTTTCTTGTTTAACTTCATTTTTTAGAGACATTAATATAGGATAACCTTGGAAATATACTAAAGCTAAGGTAAAACAACATAAACTCATTCACCCCTGAAATTTCATAATGGACTATTTCAACCTTTGAATTGGAAGAGCTTAAATGATTCTTTAGGGGTTAATAAGTGAACAGTATTTTAGTATTACTATTCTTAAAACGGCAAAGGTTAATTATTTATTTTAGAATTTCACTAAAATTAAAATGAGATCACCCGTATACTATTGGCGCTAAACTTTCAGAAGACCTGTATTTCAGATTATAGGAAGTGCAGTAAAACCTCGATATAATGCGCCTTGTTTCATTTGCCACCTCGCTAACCGTCAAACTATTTCAATGCTCCCTTTTCTCGTTTTCTTATGAATTATTTTATTCTTTTTCCTCATTTAATGGCCAAACCCCTTTATAATTTCAAATTTTCTCTGTACGAACGGTGGCAGTATATGGAGACTGCTGCTTGATCTAATCTCCGGCGATCTTTGTGAACAAGTCTATAGCTCCAGTGTTATTGTCGTCCTCGTCCTCGTCTGAGAAATCATCGTCGTATACATAAGGGAAATCATTGTCCTTCTTTTCACTATTATTTAACGTCTCATCCTCCTCTTTTGCGTCACTGATTTTACCAGCGGTTCCTGGTGCCTCAGACTGAGTAAGTTTGTCAGATGTCCCTGAAATATATTCTTTGTCAGTTTGTCCGTCTGAAATCTCAGTAATAACAACTTTCTCAGGAGATCCGTCTACAGCCCCGGAATTGACAGCTTCCTCGATATGTCCGTCTGAGATCCCAAAATCCACTTTATTCTCGGTTTCTTTATCTAACTTTTCAAATTTCATTATATTTTCAGTTGTGTCTTTATCTTTTCCTGATACCCCAGACTCTCTTAATTCCTCAGTCCAACCTTTTTTACTGTCTGAGACCACTGTCTCTCTCTCTATTCTGCCAGACGTTTCTGCAGTGTATGACGTAACCCCGTTAGGAAATTTCTCTTCTACGCCACTATCTCCAAGAATAGAATTTTCCTGTTGATGCACATCCGATTTGTCACTTTCTTTGTCAAGCATGGTACTACTATGATCCAAATTGTATTCGGCAGTGTTTAGTAATGTTTCATCCTCTTGCTCCCGTTTTCTTGTTTCCATGTCGCGTGCTTTCTCACCAGAAGACGCATTGTCATTATGCACTGTTTCTGCGGACCTAACGATTTCCACATTAGTGTTTTTACTAATATTCGGGGCCGCATGCATTGTACTCAAGCTTCCCTGTAAATCATTGTTCGGTCTCTGAGCTGTGGTAGGCATCGGGTCTCCATTACTGTATGGACGATCATTTTTATACTTTTCGCCATCCTTCCTAGAAGCGTTAACATTCATAGTCTGTGGTTTCGTTTCCGATTCGTTTCTTACCAGAATGGCTGGATTATTATCAATCTCTGTTTCTATAGTGACTTGTTTTTCTGAGCGTCTTCCCTTCCGACCTGACCCGGCTGGAGGCCTTGCTGATGGATTTCTAGCGAAGCGCCTTACTGTCGCTACTTTGTCATCTTCGTTCTGTTCCACCTTCATTGAATCGTTACCTTGCGATGTGACAGGTTCGAATGTCTCGTCCTGTTCAGCCGATTCAAGTCTATGTACTTCCACGGAATGAGTAGATTTTGCCAGCCGCTTTTTATCTCTTCGACGTTTACTGAAAATATTATTTAAAAATGTGTTTTTATATACTTAATTTATAGTACAAAATCATTTAAAATCTGTTAACGATAGCATTATAACGACACTTAAAACTTGATTTTCTCGCAGCATACAACCGACGCCTGCTCATAATTGAGTCATATTAATTTCATATCAGTGTTACTCTTTTAAATATTTGTTTTCAAGTTGTTTCTAAGTTAATATAGACTTTATTTCACAACGTATTGCAATCACTCCTGATGGCTCAGATCGGGCAGGTGACGAAATAACTTTTACTTTCGGCCGGGGAATTGAACCATCGCGGTTTATCTATTTATCTTTATGTGTAGCCCAGTGAAACAGAGACACTATGCACATCACATGAATAAAACTGAACAACATACAGAGTATAATCAGAAATTGGACATATGCTATATAACAATACATCTGACATATGATATATAACAATACATTATACATATGATATAAAACAAAACATTGAACATATGATATAAAACAAAACATTGAACATTTGCTATATAACAGTACATTGGACATATGATAAATAACAATACATTGGACATGCGATATAAAGCAGTAACAATCATGATTTATGAAACAATTAACATCAGAGTGATTACACATTGTTGAAATATTGCTTCTTATAACATTTCTTGAAACTACTAACAGTAAGAGCTCCTTCTCAAATTGTCTCTGTCATAAGCCTCTTATTGTTGACATTTTGACCTCTTAGCCAAGATAAAAGTAATGTGAATTCACTGCATGATTGAAAAATGTATAAAGAGAATAAGGTTGGATATAAATCGATAAAAGATAATGATAAATAGATAAATAGAAATAAACAGTATTTAGTTTGAAAAATTAAAAGTAGCGCATAATGTCATTTATGCAATCCAGCAGTGTCCAAGACATGGAATCAACATGGAATGATATCAATATAAATACTAAGCACTCGCCATTTTAGGCCATACTGACTCTTTATGGCGTTAACAGATGTTAATAAAACTTTTATATAATTAAGATATATTCTATTCACTCGCTTTTCTTCATTAACTGTATTCTTATGTCGAACAATGCTGTGGCGTGTACTACTCATTTGAAAATTATCATGATTAGAGGAATTATCAACTTGTGAAAACATTATACATATACATACTGATTATCTTACCTGGCGTTGTATGATTTGCCAGGGAATGGGTAGTGTGAAACCTTATCATTAAACCGTCTATCAACATAAAATATGTAGTTGACATAATAACTTAATGGTGATGGGTATTTACCTTCTCCGTCCCCTGCTCTCCGCTTTAGTCGTTGTCTCAGATGGAAGCGTGGTCGTGTTCGGCGGGGGTTGTTGACCTCGCGCAGCGTCTACATCTAGAGAAGGTAGTATTGTGTTTCTCTTCATGTCCTCACCCGTTTGGGGTTGCTGGTTAGATTGAGGTTCTCTTGTCACTAATTCCTCACTGGAATCCGTTATTTTACTAAAACAAAAGGAATACAAATGTATAAAGAATATGAATCAGGCACACACAGCAAAGATTTAACGAAACGAAACGTTCTTATACATATTAAAATGCATATTGATTATAAAAAAAGTCACTGTGTAACCGCAGTCAGTGTTTTGATACAGCCTTGGCTAGGAGTCCCCCCCNCCCCCCAGATAACTTTAGTAGATTATTCCATACGTGTATCTGGATGAGTCTATTCTGGTATGCAGTGGTGAAAGGATTAATTAACTTGTATGACACATAGATAAGAACCTATTGCTTAGGTTAATTGGTATATATTTCAGAGAAAAATCAACAGGACACGTATTCTACAGCGTCACTACTCAAAGTTAAATGACATGTTCAATCCATTTGGTAGGGAAAGACAAAAACATGAATTTGGGAAACACGAAAGCAAAAGGGATTATATCATAGTCTATGAATTTTAAAGGAAAAACTAGAATGTTAAGCATCTCATGTACTACGTGCGATGTTTGTCATGAATTTAATTACAATAGTTATTGGAGCTGATATACTGCTGTCTGATTCACATGCTCTCGCTATTTGTGAATTGAACACGGTGAACATTTCTGAAGCTGTATTCTTTATTTTAAAAAAACACCGTAAATAACATCGCACTCCATTAAATGATCCACTATGAATGGATCGGCGAGATAAATTGAGACCAATAAGGTACTGCTATATCTTCATGCTATATCTTCATGCTAATGGCATACTACCATGTCATAAATATGGTAGCACACTTGTAATAAAAAAATAAAATGACTGCAATTGGTCAAAACGATCGGGACATATTCCTCCGCCACTACAGGTATCATTTTTAGTAAACTGCTTTTCTTTTTCTGGTTCATTTTAATGGTTTTACTATTGAATGAATTGGAAATGTTCATTTTGTCATTATTATTTTCATTGCATTTCAAACTGTTCATTATTAAAAGAAAGCTACTTGCACTGCGCGGAACGAAAGTACTATGATGGGAGAACTTTGGTTTTGACCTCTATAGACAGCTGATATCTTATAATTCAGTTTAAAGGTAATATTCAAAGTATATATGTTATGTGATAAACAGAATCTGACATTCGTGTCTACGTAATATTGAATTTATTAAACGAGTTCAATTAATTGATATGACACGAGTCTTGAAGCGGGCGTCATATCAAATGATTGAACTCGTTTAATAAATTCAATACGTCGTGGACACGAATGTGCGATTCTGTATATCACATGGACACTCATTATAAGATCCACTATTTGTAGTTATTTGGGTAGTTGATAAAAGGGTCATGTTGTAGTCTGTATTTCCATCAGCTTGAAAATAAAGAGCAAATTAGGTACTCACGGAAAAAAACCAACTTATATACGAACTGTCGTTCCCAATGCTCTCAACTCCCTGAATATGTCCGATAAATAATTTCCAAGAATTGATATAAATTAGTTTACAACTAGTTTATTAAAATTGTTTTAAGATATCAGGAACCTTAAAAAATTATAACTACCAATGGTCTGGTAGGGATATGAAATTAATTTTAATCTTACTTACTTATTACAAACTTCTCCTGTCACAGATTTCAAAAGGATTCCGAATTCTTTATCAATTGGGCTACCTGGTTTGAGCATGCGTATACGTCGTGCACTCAACGCAATGTCAAATACCTGTCACGTAAATAAGAAAACGAAACATGAATTCTTAATTACATTTGCTGTATTGGGCGTTTGCGAAAGTGAAATGTGGTGTTGGTAATAATGGAAATCATCACATTTAAACTTTATTTTACGAAACATTGTATTTCGTCAGCTATAAACACATCCATTGTACTTTATCAAAATCAGGGAATAGCACAACGATATGTGACCAGAATGTAAATGTGAAACGGGAGTTCAATACCTGCATGGTCGCGTGTTGTTATTAGTCAACAATGTGGTCTTAACTTCAGCACCAATAAATGCGCACAATTGGACGAAAAATAACAAAACTATAAAATGTGACGTACCTGAAATATTACCAAGAAAGAAAGAAGGTTGAAAAACGTAATCATGTAACCCCCGAATCTGTCCAGGAGCGCGTCGTTGCAACCCTGTACAAACACACAGTAGCATCAAAATATTCATAAACTATTTATTTAGTATATCTTCCAGTGATTAAAAAGTCAGTTGCATAGAATAATTTGACCTTTCAAACAAAAAATCTTATCTGTGATTTGAAATCAACATTGTTAAAATGTTTGATTGTTTAACGCTTGATAAGGATGTGAAAGAACACTAAAACTAATAAAAAGGTTGCATTTAGGAGCGCTTAATTACTTCAATAATCATAGGCTGAACATTTTGCTCAACAACGTTTACGGTCAATAGATATCAAATAAACGTACCGTATTAAAATATAACAGAAATTAAGCTTCAGATCAAACCTGGATTCGACAAGCTATTACTAATGGGTCATGAATCAATATGTACACGTTACCGTTTCGTGGAAAGTGCCAGAAACAAGGCTGTCAGTACAAGACTCCATCCCTGAATCCAGATCCGGTCTCCATTCTGTTACATTTTTGCAGCAGTAGATTGGTATTTGCCTGCTGTTTGTCATGGTTATGCTGTTGAAATCTCCGTAGTTGCCGACACCACAGCATTCCATCTAGTTGATAAAGATAATTTTACGATACAAATTTGTGTGTACCTTTTCGATTGAAGTCAAACACCTTACCCCTATGTACAAATTACACAGAGCACCTTGGAGTATGCTTCGTTCTAAAGGAAACATTACAAATAACACGAGCATTTTACATTATTACACACATTGATAAGTCTGGTTATCTTTGCTGTCTATATGACTGTAGAAATTGATTTATTTTCATTTACTGTACTCTGCATGTGAGAAGAATTACATGTATCGAAAAGTGCGATAATGCATAAAACACAAAACAATGTCTTACAAATGTGATTACTTCAGGTACAGAATAGTAACGTCTTTCTACAAATACGTTTCGAAGGTTTGCAGTAAAAGAATTTGAAAAATGTTTTATACAATGCTGATACCTTAAAGTAGAGTAACTTCCAAGTTAAACCAGTATTTTCATAAGAATAACTCTGATATGTTTTGAACTCTGTAATGAGCTGGTCATACATCGTCCAATCGATCTGAAACATTATATAAAAGTTATTATGTGACATGACAATAATTCTTAACCGGTATGATAATACATAATTAATACATTAATAAATATATACATGTATGACATAACGGTAATTAAATATATACATATATTATTATAAATAAAAAAACTAAATGTATAATAGACGATATTTATATATAATAATACATAAATATATTTTTATATAATAAATATATACAAATATATAATCATATATAATAAATATATTTAAGTTTAAGAAACTGTGACACGGATATACAAAAATAACATTTCAATATTCAGAGACAAATGGAACCAAATAAAAGGGAAGAAATTTGATTCCACATAAAAAATAAAACCAGAAAAATGTTAAAAGAAAATGGGGCTATAAAATTTGATTTGATATATAACAAGTTTGCATCACTGGAATAAAAACCAAATTTACGGATAGTTTCTTCAACTACGTACAAGAATAAAAGGGAAATGTGTATGACTTACATTGCTTTTCGACTCAATACTCAGTCCAATTATCACTATCAACACAGCACAAAAACTCCCTCGCAGCACAATCAACTGAAACAAAGAAAGAAATTGAATGTTCCTATTTTTATCGCACAAAACAGAAAGTAAATTCATTATTACCATATAACAAGTAGTTAAAGTTATAGTTATACAGATTGCTTAATATCAATTGAACCTTCTGACCAAAAGACTGTATTTAGTGTGGTTATCACTCTTGAAGATATACATGTATATAAGTTAGGCTTGATACGTACGATAGGATGGACTATGTATAAGTACCTTAGCACAGGTTTTATAAAAAAAAAATCTCGAACTTAATATATATATATGGTTTAAACTAAACTAACAAAACTGGAAATATCTAATGCGCACAAGGAGATAATGCGATTCACAAATATTTCCTTTCGTCACACATAGTAATTTGTGGTCTCTTAATAGAGGTTATGTCTCAAGCAAATTCAACTGTAATACATATAGCTAACAATATTAATATTTATTCAATGTTTTTCAAGGAAATGTGATCAGAAAACATATAATCGGGAACATTGAAAACAGACCCCTGGATCAAAAAAGCAATCTTTGACTTAATTTGTTTTGCCTAGCCAATCACGAATTGAAAACAGGCCCCCGGACCAGGAAACGTTTTTTTTGCTTAGCCAATCACGTATGACCTCACTTTTCATGACGTTATTTGTGATTGCTTAAATCAAAAAGCCAATTTTAGTCTTAAGATCGTTTCAGGATCCATGGGGCCAGGTCTCGCTGTTGCTTCTTCGCAAATGGTACCGTACTATGTATTCAAGGAATTTAGAGTTCCAGCAATAGATAAGGAGTCCATAAAAGACAATGGCCATCTCCGAAATGCCAAGTCCCAGCATGCAATACGCTACGGCCACTAAGTAGTAGGTAAACCGGCGATTGTTAAAGCCGAGCTTGTAGAATAAAGTATGAAGGTCTATGTCATCAAATATATCATCGAACTTCAACAGCAGGCCAGTCACAACCAGAGACAGTCCGAAAAGCTGTTAAATAAAACACCACCGATTACAATGTGACGAGTATAGCGTTTGTTTAAAACACATTAACATAAGATTTATTATCAATGGAGTTACAAATAATACAAGCACTATTGTCAATCACAAAACGTTTATGTCACGTATTAAAATAACATAATCTAGAATTATGATATTTACAAAATATAAATGGAATATATAATAACATTGCAAGTTCATTCATTGTTTTTTAATTTGCACTCGGCTAATGAAATACAATCATTGTTATAATAGACAATGGCAATTTTCCTATTGATCTGAAGATTTTAGAATTTCAACTGCTTAATTCAATTAATAACCTGTCAAAATATTGAAAATTAGTCGATATTCGCCACAAATACAAAACAACGCTGAAAGTTATTGACATAATCGTTTACCAATAACGATTTTAGTACACATACTTACACACACTTACACACACTTACACATACTTACCAATGATACGAATTTAAGAACGATGCCTACACCATTGGCTTTATCACTGGAAGAAGAGAATGTCAACAAATAAATATATTGTACATTATGGAATTTAATTAATGATGGGCAGATGACATATTGTTACTTTTTAAAGAATCGTATTACAACCACATTCAAAATATGATTGATTTATAAATCTTTTTCTTTGCGACGGTTTATCGACACAATGAGATCATACATAGCCAAGCGGCTGTAGAAATTATACATAATAATTCAAACAAAAGATTGATAAGTGGATGAATTGGAATAACATGTTCCCGAATAAGAAAACCAAATGATTATAGCGTCTGCAGTTTTTTACTTAATCAGTGTCAGAATGATGCTATTGAAATACCTTAAATTTATACTTATTCACTCACAAACAACTGAGGGAAACAGAAACAAACTAAAATATTATAGTAACCGGCGAAACACTTAATAATTTTTGATTGCTTTCTGTATTACTACTCTTGTATTGGGTAACTGAGGTAACTCTCTCGAGGTTTTTTTTGGCTTAATTTGTCTTAATATGTTCAGATTTTGATAGTGCTGGGTGAATACGATTTTATTAACTTTTTGTGAAAGGATGGAACTATGTAATATATCTGATAAGAACTTTATCTATAGCGCTTATACAACCCGCCTGTCGGTTTTATTCTTATTTCAGAAACAAAAGAATTACCATTATGGGGTTACGATGAGGAAAATGATCCAAGCAAGACACAGATAAATAAACCGAAACTTGTAAATTATTTATAGAGACTACATTATGTTACAGAAATCGATTATATAATCCACAGAACATTAAACAAACAGACAAGAAAATGATTGAAAGAAACCATTATGAAATTTTGACTGAAACCATTCCATAAATACTTTACAAAAACTATAAACATTATTTAAAGAAATCATCAGAATGTATCTTTCGAATGACTATAATTGATTATTTTTACACAAATGATATAGAAATACTTTAAAAAATATATAAAGATATATTTTAAATCAGCCATTCAAAACCAATATTTGAAATCAGGCAACTTCAAATATTCAAGTAATAAATATTTAAAGCATTCATCGTTATTCAAGTTTATCGGGTGCGTAGCACTTTGATATGTAACCTCATCGATATTATACTCCCTGCTATTTAAAAATGACAAAAAGTCTATATCGATAACATTCAGATACCTCTCACAATTCGACAATGCTAACTCAAGTTCAAGGACGATTACTTTCCCACAATTCACAAGTGTAATCTTAAAAGTTTGTTATTTTTCGTACTTACTCTGCCCATAATCGAGTAACTTTCCTTTTGAGAATTCCAATGACACCCTTACGAACGGCCGGAGTAGTTTGCATGGGTTCTGAGATAACACTAATTGGTTCATGTTCAGCGGCAGGACTAGTTGGTTCATGTTCTTCGGCAGGAATAATTGGTTCGGATTCTGCCACAGATGTTCCTGTGGTTAATTCCCCTATCCTCTTGTTGGCATACATAAAGGCTACTACCTGTCAAACAAATGTTATATCTCATATATAAAGAACAGTATCTAACAAACAAATGTTATATCTCATATATAAAGAACAGTATCTGTCAAACCAATGTTGTATCTCATATAGAAAGAACAGTATCTGTCAAACAAATGTTATATCTCATATAGAAAGAACAGTGTCTGTCAAACAAATGTTATATCTCATATAGAAAGAACAGTATATATAAAGGACATTTTGGTCAAACACATGTTTGATCTCATATATTAAGGACAGTATATGTCAATCAAAAGTTAGATCTGACAAATGGTATATCTTATATGTAAAGGACATTTTTTTGTAAAACAAATGTTATTTCATATATAAAGGAAAGTGTCTGTCAGACAAATGTTATATCTCATATAAAAAGGACATTTTGGGGCAAACAAATGATAATATCTTATAATTTAAGTAAAAATTCTCTAAAACAAATGTAATGTCTCATATATGAAGGACGTTTCTTGTTGACAAACAAATGTTTAATCTCATAGGAATAACACTATATGTCAATCAAATGTTAGATCTCATATATAAAGGATAATATTTGTCAAAAAAATGGTATATCTTATATGTAAAGGACATTCTTGTCAAACAAATTTGTTATTTCATATATAAAACACATTATCTGTTAAGCAATTGTAAATTCTTGTCTCACATTTATAATGGACAGTATCTGCCGATCAATGAAATGTCATATAAATATGTGAATGCAATATCTGACGTGGAAACTGAAAACTTGATAGTTGTTTATTGAAATACGTAACACTTGTAACTGGTATTTATGTCACGTATCATAAACACTTTCATTACAGTATAAGTTGGCAATGAATTATTTACACGTGTCAATGAAATGTTTGATAAGGTCATTATATATTTGAGACATGTGCAATGAAATACACCACTTATATGTGGAACTGATATTTAGGTAACGTATCTCACCCAGTCTCCAATACGAGATGTGCTATCAATTTATCTAATTACTTATCTATTTATATGTATATTATACCTATAATTATAAGGTTCACATGCACTAACGAATATATTATTTTTACAGTGGCACTGATGCGCAATCAAATACTGTATTAAAACACATGTTCGTTGAGCCGGAGGCCTATACAATTGAATAGAATTGAAACGTTTAGAGTAGAGCTGTATATTTGATTCAATTACGAATATGAAATTGTCCGTATCATGATATAACAAATTTATCAGAATCCATGTCGTTGAATCTTGAACATGTTTGATCATTAGTACTATAATGATGATGTATTTAGAACGTACTTACCTGTAAAAGGAGCAAAACAGAAACCAGAGCCAGACCTACGCCCGAAAATGTTCTGAAATGATCTTGAAGAACCGGAGCGCAAGCCTACAATATAAAATAACAGTACTTAACATTGGTCATTGCTAGTTTCTATTATTTTAACTTAGAGTATGCTAATAATGGTTTCCTTACTACCAAGATGTATCTACCTGCAGTATGGCAATAATGGCCATATCAATATATAATTCTATGATGTGGTCATTAGGACATCAATGGTCACCTCTCTACCAGCTTCCTCGGTATTTAATGGCATTCCGACAATATTGGTCAATTCACGATGGTGATATTTACCAACAGTTTGACACCAAATGTAACCCTTCCTTCCAAACTCTACAGTATCATGTAATAGATGATGGCAGATTATATGACATTTACATTCAGCATAATACTGTATAAAGGATCATCTCACTGTCAAACTACAGGTATGTTTGGGGAAGAAACGGTAACACCACTTCAAAACTCATTGACATTTACCTGCAGTAAAACAAAAATTGTCACCTCACTTCCAAAGTCATATTACTTTCAGCATGACATACATAGCCAATCTCTCTAACACTTTAACAAGACTAGTCACCCAACTAACAAAACCTGTGACATTTACTTGCAGTGTGCCAATATCGGTGACCTTAATTTCAAAATGAGATTTTCAGCATGACATATATGGTCAACTTCTCTATCAGTTTCGCTACCTACACAATTACAATAATTACTCACGAACTACCAAAATCTTTGATATTTATTAACATAGTAGGACAATAATTAAGATCCTATACTATATTATAAAATGTATCTACCAATTTCTTCGACCCCTACCTTCAGTATAAAAATAAATGCCTCCTCATTTCCAAACTCAAGAATATTTGCCTACATTCTCGCCCCATATATATCTTACTATATTGATACATATCTCGCCATGCTATGCTTATATTACTTACCCTAAAATTACTACAATATGGAGAAATTCTGTTCCAGGTCCCCGCTGGGACCAAATTCATGAAGTCTTGTTGTCCTGTTATTCCACAGCATTGCAGCTTTAAATACAAACAACAACAGCTTAGGTGTGTAGCAAATTATTGTAATATCATTTTAATGTGTTTATAAGTGTCGATTTATAGTTCTCGTCACACCATTTATGATACTTAAGGATAGCCGTATTACTACTAAAAGCTGTAAATAAATATTGGAAACTGTTATTTTCGGCATGATTATAGCTTTGATAAATCATGCCTGGGAAGAAAACGCTAGGTTGTGGGATTTTAATGAGAAATAATAAAAATGAGAAAACCAATCATAATAAACAAAAGAGTTCTGAGTGTAAAACGTCAGTGGGGCAAGACAAGGATTAAAACCATGGCCTCTTATCTTTAAATCGTTCTCTTACTCAAGCTAAAATTCTGTGATCAAGCCCAATTGTGATTACTTAAGAAAAAAAACCTTACATTTTGTCATCATTTTCGGAATAATTATGGGAAGCTTCAAGCCGCATTTTATTTCAAATGTTAACACTTGAATATCTGACTGTACCACGTTATTGTAAGAAGTTACAAGAAAGTTGGTTTTAGCGCAAAGTCCATGCTTGAACATTAGAACGGTTTTAATGAAAACAGGCCCTGTACTTCAGATTCTTTTACAATCGATCAACTGCTTGATCTACCTGGTCAAACCGAAGTGTTTCTTCCCGAAATGTGCTACATCCAAACGAAAGTAACAAGTGAGAGGAGATTAATGTATCTGTATATAGGAAAAGCAGAGTGCGTGATTCTCTCAAACCTAAGTCACCTAAAGTTCCAACGCGGCAGAAGAGACAACAGTACTCACAACACAGTACAACTTCCATTAAAACACATGTTCAGTAAATTAAAATGAAACATAATATATAAAAGCATCGAATCGCAATGCTCATACTATATTGCACGAACATCTGTCTCGCTAGTACGGCAGTATTTCCCCCTCGTTATCATTGGCTTCTATATTTATATGTGATTTTGCAGGATTTAACAAATACAATTATAGCGATTGTCAACACAAACGATATTGTACATATGTAACCAGAGCGCTTAAGGATCACCGTACAACTACCAAAAACTGTAACTAAGCATTGAAACATGGATTTTTTCGGCATAAATTAAAACTGATTAATTAACTTCTGACAAGAAAACCAGACGTTGCGGTACTTCGATGGAAAAAATTAAATGAAACAATAGAAAAAATATAATAGTAACAAACAACAGTTTTCTGAGTGTAAAATATCAGCGGGCATAGACTGGGATTCCAACCCTAGATTTCATATTTTTGTACTATCGCTCTGACCGACTGGGCTACCTGATCAACGGACTGTTCTTGACCAACTGTGTTACAGTTATGTCCAAAACGAAATGAAGGGGGAGATTACTATATCTACAAAGAACACAGTTGAGTTGGACAAGAATCCTAACGGGATATTGAGTGATGGTTAGTTTATGATCCCTAGTAAGCACTTATATATATTAAACTTACTGTCTGGACCAGATCAAGAGCGTACTGCAAGTAAGGATCGTAGCGCAGTGATGTGGAAAATAAGTCCTCCACTTCTTGTTCCATATCATATCTCACCTGCAAAACATTCATGGTATCATTATCATCTCGCTGACTGGCAATAAACTAAATTCCAAACAAGACTTCGGTGATATAGGATAATTTCCTTTACCCCTAATACATTACATTTATGTCCATATACATGTACATGTAACTCTCGAATTTAGAGGAATAAAGAAATGAATGAATGAATGCTGCGATTTACAGGAAATACGATTTTTGAATAAATTATGTTAGTGGCAAGACATTATAAGTATGTAAAATTATATGGTGTTTATTATTTTAAAGGGCCTTATAGACACAATTCCTATTTTGCTGTATTCTACGTGTCTTTCAGAACACTCATGACATTTAGTTCCATTGATTTGTCCAGATGGATAAAATTGCCATTTTGTGGAGAGAAAAAGAAAATTCATGTTTTGGTTTTCTGTATCGGACTTTTTTTTAAAAATTGGTGCATATTATTTCTATTATTTAAATTTCAATTTCAACAAATTTTATTGACAATATAAGCAATAGTCAATAGGATCAGAAATCAGGCATAGCCTATCTAAGTCCTCTCCTTAAAGTGACAACAGGTGGTAAGAAACACAGACATATATTTGTACATTGATATGATGTTTGGGATAAGGGGAAGTAACTCCTTGATGTAAACAGACATGTTCAGTATTCTTGAGATATAGTAACCCTTTCACTAGGGATATTTAATTTGAGATATTTACTAGACTATCATCTTCAGTGAATAGTATCAAGTATTAGACAATGAGTTACTGGTATTCATATAAGGTAAACTGTTGAGTATAAATATTTGGTGATATTGGATTTATTCCCTCAACAAATACAGGACATACAGTCCAAATGTATAACACACTAGCCATCACACACTGTTAAGGATCAAAAGCCAATTTCAGCAAATAGATGTATAATTTGTAAGTAGGGTTACACCAACTCCTGTAAGTAATGTAGTAATTCTTTAATTAAATTGAAAGGAGTTACTCCATATCTTGATGTTAGCTTAAAGAAGAAGAAGAAAACAGAATATAACAGCTAAATTAGGAATTATCAAAGGTAGAATAAAGTATCTAATTAATTCCATATTATATTACATTAGGTATATCCTGTACTTCTATATCATTGTAGTGCACTGGGGGGGGGGGGTATAAAGCTTTTATACATATAACTTGGGAAAAAAAAGGAAAAAAATATATATAACAATGTAAGAATGTATAAATATGTTTCAAAAAATACTAAGGGTAAGTCGAATATTATATTAATGAAAATCTTATAAAGTTTGATACATGAGATAAGATATCTCTTTTTTGTATATCATTACAACTATTACAACCATTTAGTAGGACATTTAAACACAGATGATTGTGAGTGTAATGATTCAAATTCTGTTGGAGAGTCTGGCGAATATTATTATATTGATTACATTCAGAAAAATAATGTGCAGCAGTTTCAAAAGATCCGTTACACTCACACATTGGAGATTCAATTAAGTGATCTTTATAACGATCATAATTAAGATTACAAGCATTATTTCTTATTTGGCAAAATATAATGTTTCCATCACGATTGCCAAATTATTTAAAAACATCGCTTGTTTCAGATTTCATATATTGCTTTGTAGTTAGTAACCTTTTTAACTGTGCGGTAGATTGGATGCTAGTAATATCTGGGGCAAGTCTATTCATTTCATTTAGCATGGACGGAAAGAAAAATCAAAATATTTTACAGTACGACATAAAGGGGGATGAAATAATCTGTTTGTTCGGAGGGGGTATCTGTCAAGGGTTTCATCATGAATATATGGTTGAATAATTACTCTTAGGTTATCTGGGGTTTCATTATTCATTATTCTATACATTAAAAATAGTTTATGTTTATTTCTTCTGCAGCTCAAAGTTTCCCAACCTAATACCTTGTATAGTTTATCATGTGATGTTCCTCTACGTAACCCTGTAATTAATCTTGCAGCCTCTAATTGTATTGAATCTAATAGGTTTTTTTAGCTAGTGTGCAATTGTCCCACACAACATCTGCATATTCAATAACTGGTCTTATGTAGGATATATATAAGGTTGTTAAGGATTTTCTATCAATTTTATTTTTTAGTAACCTTAAGATATTTATTCTTTTAAATGCTTTTTCATATATATTAGATACGTGTTGGTTCCATTTGGCATCATCACTAAGTGTAAAGCCCAGATGTGTATGTGTTTTGCTTTCAACAATTGGTGCGTAATAAACATTAACAATAGGATGATTCTTATTAGTTTTCCATGAAAAAAAATGCAGATTCAGTTTCGGAAGGATTAAATTTAATGTCCCATTAAGTGGTCCAAAGCTTAATATTAGTCTTGTCATTGGAAAGATTTTGTGCCAGTTCAATGGGATTATTATCACATATACAATAGAGAGAGGTGTCATCTGCAAATAATTTAATTTTACTGGAAACAAAATCAACAATATCATTTATATATATATTAAAAACAATAACGGACCGAGGACTGAGCCTTGTCTAACCCCTGCTTGAACAGTGTCAAAGGTTGATGTATAACCTTCAGTTAGTACTCTCTGTTTTCTGTCTGATAAAAAGTTACGAAACCAATTTAAAAGATTTCCTTTAACACCATATGATTCCAACTTGTAAAGCAGACCATTGTGCCAAACTCTATCAAAAGCCTTGCTTATGTCACAGAATATAATTCTGATTTCTTTATTTTTATCTTGGCAATTAATAATGGTATGGTAAATAGACAATAATTGATTTACAGTTGAATCTTTAGGTGTAAAGCCAGACTGGTGTTTTGTAATGATTTCATATAAACTTAGGTAATTATATAGATATTTGAAAATGATTTTTTTCATTTTACTAAAACATGAAGTAACAGAGATTAGTCTGTAATTAGAAACCTCCTTTACCTTTATAGATAGCGTAATATTAGCCATCTTCCAGCCGAGGGGGATAATACCAGTTTCAAGTGTTTTGTTAAATAGAAGAGTTAGAGGAAAGAGGATAGATGGATGTAATTGTTTGATTATTCTAGGAATCATATCATCTTGTCCAGCAGGTTTATTAAAATTCAAAAGAAATAGCTGATCGTTAACATCCTGTTGGGTTATAACAATATCATTTATGGAATTAGGAAAATCGTTAGTAGTTTCAGGTATAGGTTCAGTATTTTCAGAAGTTGTAGATATTGATGCAAAGTATTTATTTAAGCATTCAGCTTTGACAAATGGATGTTGAATAAATGAATTGTTGTGTGTAAGTGGGGGAATAGAAGTAGATTTGTTGTTTATATTAAGGACATTTCGTGCAATTTTCCACCACTTGTTAGGGGGAATAGTTTTGTCGATTAATGATTTTTTGTAAATTTTCAACATACTTTTTCTTGGCATCACGTATTCTACTAATGGTTTCATGTTGTTTTTTTCTATAATTTTCCCAGTGAAAAGCCGAATTACTAGATTTTGCTTTCCTAGTCTAATATCATTAGTCATCCCTTTTTTATCATTTTGTCTAATTTTTACATACTTAAAAATGTAGTGGGTATAGATTCATTAATTAAGTGCTTTATTGTATCACATAAGATATTGTTAAATTCATTAGTTTCATGTATATTGATAAGGTTTTCCCAATCTTTTTCTAAAATACATCTTTTCATCTGATCATAATCTGCATCTTGATAAATAAGAATTTCCTTTCGATAGGTTTGTTTTTTAAAAACTGCATAGGAAATGTTAAATTGTATCAGAGAATGGTCACTTCATAAAGGAGGAAGCACAGATGCATTTTTAACTATATTTCTATTGTTGGAAAAGACAATATCAGTTGAAGTTGATGAAGTTTCTATTATTTTCTGAACAAATGTTACGTTTCTTAATAATCATATTTAATTTTCAATTTTAAAAAATCAATAGAATAACCTGTACCGAATAGTTCAGAAGTGTTATGAATCAACGTGTATAAGTATTTAGAGTTAAAAGGACGCAACTGTGACATCAATGTCTCTCACAAAAGAATTCCCTTTTCTATATGCTGATTATGAATGCCTTATACAACATTTACCTTTGCGTAAAACACGGCCCAGAAGATGATTACTGTCACAGTCATCACCACGCCTAATATGTTGATAAGTGCAGACTGAAACCAAAACAAATCACTTGAGACGTTGATACCAATTCACTTACTGACCATTAATGGTAGGACTATAGTCTCAATAAACAATAACGGACCAGTATAATATGATGTCAAAACAAAGGAGACTCATCTTAGGTAATCTAGGAGTTACCCTCACTTTCGCTCTCTGAACCCCTGGAATATATCGTAGTAAAATCCAAGGCACACGGCTAGCATTTTGATTGGTGTAAGGTAATAATACCTGACTAATAGCTAGGCCGATTAATGTCCTTAACGGTTACAGATGAGCAATACCCATCAGTCAATTTTACCGTTACGCGACCGACAGATTATTTTGGTGTAAATCAAAGGATACAACTAGTCTTCTCGTCTCATCCACAAGATGGCACACATGCACTGTGCCTTCGATTTTGTTGTGAGATATCCCAGGGGTGCAGAGAGCGAAAATGAGCGTAATCTCTGTAGTATCGGGGATGCAAGAGAGCAAGCTATGAACTTGTTCAACTTCAAAAAGATGCAATAAATAAATATTGAAATCAAACATCCATTTTGAAGTCATTCAGTTCCTTAATGTTGCATTTTTTGTGTCTTTATCTTTACTTGTTTTGTTTCAAAAGCCAAAATGCAGGATACTTCAGTTCACTCAGTTAAATTAAGCAATAAGCAGCTAACATGAATCGAGGTACCCTTCCAAATAGCAGCATCTATATTGAGTTAGGAAAGTCAGGTTTGGTGAAACATTTTCTGAATCGTGACGCCAGAATGAAAATATCTAAAGTTGGGGGGCTGCATGACAACGTGACGTCATTTCTTGAGCTATGTCACACGTCACCAATCACGTTATCAACGAAAGAACATGTTTTACATAACACGCATTTTTTGCAACTCTCACGACATTTCACAAACATTTCGATGTTAATATTTATACACATATTACATATTTCCATCATAAATATTTTTTCAAACCTTAAATGGTATACTGAGCTAGCCTCTAGACAATTCAAACTAGCTATTCTAATACCTAACTACATATGTTGAAGAATAGCTGTTAAAATACTCACCACGTAATAAGCCGCTCGTGACGTCACGCAGGTAGCCGAGACACTTTGGATAGAGGTGAAGAGCGATATACCCCCGCAAAACACCAGCAGAGAGGCAAGTATTCTGATTAAGTCATCGAAATATATGTTATCGAACCTGAGTCGTGAAATTGAAAATTCTGACACAAATGAGGGGTACTCTTTGATGCTGTAACCTCCATAGATAACCAGGCTAACTCCAACACACTGTGTGAAATACACAAACATAAAATTAATGTCATACTGCTTAATTAATGCTATTTGTTCTTCGTTAAGTTCGCGGTAAAAAAAGTGCAGAATTATTTATCCAACTAAAATACATTATCGAGGATTATATTGTACAAACTCAAAGCAAAATTGAAGGCAGTAATATGCTATTTTATTGGTCTCAGGTTTAACAATAATCCTCACCAATCTCTTGCTGATTGTAGTCTTTTGAAGTTTACATAGGAGCGAGACCCGACTTCAAAGACAGTCAATGTTACCGTTACCCTACGCGAGATTCTTTTGAAACTAGTCTGCTTGTATCGTCCAAAAGGTGGCGCACACTGAGTCGTCAATTGCTATGACATATTCGAGGTATATAGCGATAGTAAATGAGCCTAAGCCCTTGAGTAACGAGGATGTATATGACAGTTTGAATACTTACACCTTGGCACAGTGCCAAAGATTGCATGACAAACGTCAACGGTCCTCTACAAGTAAACAATATAGCGTCATTCTATATTTGTTACAGATATTCCAACTTTTCTTTTTCAAGTAAAATAGACCACAATCATTTATATTGTTGGAAATGTCCTACACAATTAAATATTACGATATTCAAAAAATCTTATATAATTCAAACATTGAACTCTTCGTGAGTATTATTATTTCACAACTCTTTTATCAATACCAGAACTTTCTTAACTGTTATTGGAGTTGATATACTGCTGTCTGATCCACATGCTCTCTATTTGTGAATTGAACACGGTGAATATTTCTGAACAGGTACAACTTTAAATATATAATAACATATTCGCCAATTCTAAGTAGATGTATTTTTTATCTAAAAAAAGAACTCGAAAATAACATCGCACACAATAAAACAATCCACTATGGATAGACCGGCGAGATAATTTGAGACCAATGATTTACTACTATATCTTCATGCTAGTGCCATTTTACCATGTCATAAATATGGTAGCACACGTGTAATACAAAATAAAATTACTGCAATTGGTCAAAACTATCGGGACATATTCCACCGCCACTACAGGTACTATTTTTAGTAAACTGCTTTTCTTTTTCTGGTTCATTTTAATGGTTTTACTATCAAATGAATTTGATATGTTTATTTTAGCATTATTATTTTCATTGCATTTTAAACTGTTCATTATTAAAAGAAAGCTACTTGCACTGCGCGGAACGAAAAAACTATGATCGGAGTACTTTGGTTTTGACCTCTATAGACAGCTGATATCTTATAATTCAGTTTGAAGTTTATTTTCAAACTATAAATGTTATGTGATCAACAGAATCTGACATTCGTGTCTACGTAATATTGAATTCATGAAACGAGTTCAATAATTTGATATGAGTCTTTAGGCGGGCGTCATATTAAATTATAAAACTCGTTTAACAAATTCAATACGTCGTGGAAACGAATGTAAGATTCTGTATATCACATGGACACCCAAGTAAGATCCTCTATTTGTAGTTATTTTGGGTAGTTGATAAAAGGTTCATGTTGTAGTCTGTATTTTCATCATCTTGAAAATAAAGAGCAAATTAGGTACCCACGGAAAAACCCAACTTATATACGATATGTCGTTCTAAATGCTCTCAACTCACTTAATATGTCCGATACATAATTTCCAAGAATCGATTTAAAAAACAATCAGTTTATTAAAATTGTTTTAAAACGTCAGGCACCTAAACAAGTTATAACTAGCAATAGTCTGGTAGGGATAAGAAATCAATTTTAATCTTACTTACTTTTTACAAAATTTTACTTTCACCAATTTCATAAGGATTCCGATTTCTTTATCAATGGCGTCACCAGGTTTGAGCATGCGTATACGGCGTGCACTCAACACAATTTCAAATACCTGTCACGTAAGTAGGAAAACAAAACATGAATTCTGAATTACATTTGCTGTATTGGGCGTTTGAAAAAGAGGAATGTGTAGAGTAAACGGGAATCATCACGTTTAAACTCTATTTTACGAAACATTGTATACCGTCAGCTATAAACATCCATTGTACTTTGTCAAAATCAGAGAATAGCACAACAATGTGTGACCAGAATGTAAATGTGAAATGGGATTTTTAATACCTACATGGTCGCGTGTTTTCATTAGTCAACAATGTGGTCTTAACTTCAGCACCATTAAATGCGCACAATCGGACGAAAAATAACAAAATTATATAATGTGACGTACCTGAAATATTACCAGGAAAGAAAGAAGGTTGAAAAACGTTATCATGTAACCCCCGAATCTGTCCAGGAGCGCGTCGTTGCAACCCTGTACAAACACAAATTACCATCAAAATATTCATCAACCGTGTTTTTAATTTTACAAGCATAAAAGGACAATCCTTATCCAATATATCGAGATAAAATGTCTGCAGCAACGTCATCGTCATGACATCATTATATCATCCAATGATTAAATAGTTATTTGCACAGAATAGTTTGACTTTTCAAACAAAACACTTATGTGTAATTTGAAATCTACATTGAATGATTGTTTTACGTTTGATTAGGATGTGACAGAACACAAAAAAATAATAAAAAGGTGGCACTGTAGAGCGCTTAATTTCTTGGGGTAAATATTTTCGGGGGTGCACATTTTGCTCTACAACTTTTGCTGTCATTAGATAATAAATAAACATACGATATGTAACAGAGATTGAGCGGTTAATCATACGTAACAGGGATTCTTCGGGTCACACATGAATTCGACAAGCTATTACTAAAGGGTCATGAATCAATATGTACACATTACCGTTTCGTGGAAAGTGTCAGCAACAAGGCTGTCAGTACAAGACTCCATCCCTGAATCCAGATCCGGTCTCCATTCTGTTACATTTTTGCAGCAGTAGATGGGTATTTGCCTGCTGTTTGTCATGGTTATGGTGTTGAAATCCCCGTAGTTGCCGACACCACAGCATTCCATCTAGTTGATAAAGATAATTTTATAATAAACATTTCTGGGTACGTTTTCGATTGATGTCAAAGCACCCTACCCCCTACCTACAAATTACATAGAGCACCTTGGCGTATGTTTCGTTCTAAAGGAAACATTACAAATAACACGAGCATGTTACATTATAACACACAATGACTTGGTTATCTTTGCTGTCTACATGACTGTAAAAATGGATTTATTTTCATTTACTGTACTCTGCATGTGAGAAGAATTACCAAAAGGCGAGATAAGCATAAAAAAACATAATGTCTGACAAATGTGATTACCGCAGGTACAGAATAGTATCGTCTTTCTACAGTTACGTTAAAAGTTTGCAGTAAAAAGAAATTGAAAAATGTTTTATACCTTAAAGAAGAGTAAATTCCAAGTTATACCAGGATTTCCATAATAATAATTCTGATAGGTTTTGAACTCTGTGATGAGCTGGTCATACATCGTCCAATCGATCTGAAACAGAAACCAGAAAAATGTTAAAAGAAAATGGGACTTTTAAATTTGATTTAAGATATAACAAATTTGCAACACTGGAATAAAAACCAGATTTACGGATAGTTTCTTCAACTCCATACAAAACTAAAAGGGAAGTGTGCACGACTTACATTGCTTTTAGACTCAATACTCAGCCCGATTATCACTATCAACACAGCACAAAAACTGCCTCGCAGCACAATCAACTGAAACAAAGAAAGAAATTGAATGTTCCTATTATCTCAACAAAAAAAAAACCCAAAAAACAGAAAGTAATTTCTTTATTATCATATAGAATAAAACTATTAGTTAGAGTTATACATAGTGCTTAATATCAATTGAACCTTAGACCAAAAGACTGCACTTAGTCAGGCTATCATGTAAAGGTGTACATGTTTATACTGTTAGGCTTGATACGAAAGATAGGATCGACTATGTAATGGTACCTTAGTTCATGTTTTATAATTGTTCATGTTTCCCTCGTAGATAAAGTGATGCACAAATATTTCTTTCACCACACTAGTCTCTTATTAGAGGTTCTGTCTCAAACAAACTCAACCGTAATACATATAGCTATAAATATTAATATTATGTTTTTCAAGCAAATTTGATCAGAAAACATATAAATGGGAAAATTGAAAACAGGCCCCCGGACCAGGAAACGTTTTTTTGCTTAGCCAATCACGTATGACGTCACTTTTCATGACGTTATTTGTGATTGGTTAAGCCTTATCTAAAGCCAATTTTAAGATCGTTTCAAGATCCTTGGGGCCAGGTCTCGCTGTTGCTTCTTAGCAAATGGTACCGTACTATGTATTCAAGGAATTTAGAGTTCCAGCAATAGATAAGGAGTCCATAAAAGACTATGGCCATCTCCGAAATGCCAAGTCCCAGCATGCAATACGCTACGGCCACTAAGTAGTAGGTAAACCGGCGATTGTTAAAGCCGAGCTTGTAGAATAAAGTATGAAGGTCTATGTCATCAAATATATCATCGAACTTCAACAGCAGGCCAGTCACAACCAGAGACAGTCCGCAAAGCTGTTAAATCAAACATCACCGATTACAATGTGACGAGTACAGTGTTTGTTTAACATACATTAACATAAGATATATTATCAATGGAGTTACAAAATAATACAAGCACTATTGTCAATCATGAAACGTTTATGTCACGTATTAAAATGATATAATCTAGAATTATGATATTTACAAAATATAAATGGAATATATGATAACACTGCAAGTTCATTTCATTGTTTTTTTTAATTTGCACTCGGCTAATGAAATACAATCATTGTTATAATAGACAATGGCAATTTTCCTATTGATCTGAAGATTTTAGAATTTCAACTGCTTAATTCAACTAATAATCTGTCAAGATATTGAAAATTAGTCGATATTCGCCACAAATATAAAACAAGTTATTGACATAATCGTATATCAATAACGACTAATTTTAGTACACACACTTACCAATGTGACGAATTTAAGAACGATGCCTACACCATTGGCTTTATCACTGGAAGAAAACAATGTCAACAAATAAATATCTTGTACATTATGGAATTTAATTAATGAAGGACAGGTGACATATTGTTACTTTTTAAAGAATCGTATTACAACCACATTCAAAATATGATTGATTTATAAATCTTTTTCTTTGCGACTGTTTATCGACACAATGAGATCATACATAGCCAATCGGCTGTAAAAATTATACATAATAATTCAAACAAAAGATTGATAAGTGGATGAATTGGAATAACATGTTCCCGAATAAGAAAACCAAATCATTATAGTGTCAAAAGTTTTTAACTTATCAGTGTCAAAATGATGCTGTTGAAATACCTGAAATTTATACTTATTCACTCACAAACAACTGCGGGAAACAGAAACAAACTTAAATATTAGAGTAACCGACGAAAAACTTAATAATTTGTGATTGCTTTCTGTATTACTTCTCTTGTATTGGGTTACTGAGGTAACTCTCTCGAGTTTTTTGGGTTTTTTTGGCTTAATTTGTCTTAATATGTTCAGATTTTGATAATGCTGGATGAATACGATTTTATTAACTTTTTGTGAAAGGATGGAACTATGTAATATATCTGATAAGAACTTTATCTATAGTGCTTATACAACCTGCCTGTCGGTTTTATTCTTATTTCAGAAACAAAAGAATTACCATTATGGGGTTACGATGACGAAAATGATCTAAGCAAGACACATATGAATAAACCGAAATTTGTAAATTATTTACAGAGACTACAATATGTTACCGGTTATATAATTCATCAGAACCTTAAAAAGAACAGAATTATTGTTGTGTGTCCCAAACTTTCGTAGTGGAAACCGGTGCTTTGGGAGGGTTTCGGTCACGTTGTGGTATAGCTTACCATCTGCTATTAGAGAGTCAAATACCCTGGCCAAATTCAAGAGGGACATCAAAAATCACCTCTTCACGTCTTCATTTTAGTGTCTTTTCAAAAACGTCATGTAAATACCACCCTTTATTTGTTCATTTATGTTCTCATTGCGATGAGTATCTGCTTGCTTAAATGTATAATAGTGATCTTAAGCCTTTGTTTTTGTTTCACAATTATAACTAATACTATTATCCGTATGGTGTAAAGCGCTTTAGAGTAATTTTACACATTATATAGGGAGCTATATGCATGTTGTATATTATCATTTTTATTAAGCAAGAAAAAGGTTGAAAGAAACCATTAAGAAAATTTGACTGAAACCGTTCAATAATAACAGAAACTATTAAAGTTACTTAAAGAAATCATAAGAATGTACTTTTCGAATGACTATAACTGATTGTTTATACACAAATGTTAAAGAAATGCTCTAAAAAATGTGTACTTATTCATTTTTAAACAGTCATACAAAACCAATAATTGAAATCAGACAACACTAAATAAAGAAGTACTTAAATATTTAGAGCGTTTATCGTTATTCGGCTACACAGCACATTTTGATATGTAACCTTGTTGATTTCACTTCGTATACTAGGTATATTAAAGTATATTTAACTGACAGCAATACTATACTACCATCTATTTGAAAATGACAATTCAATAATACTAACGCATGCTCAAGGACGATTACTGTCCCACAATTCACAAGTGTAATATTAAAAGCCTGTTATCTTCGTACTTACTCTGCCCATAACTGAGTAACTCTCCTTTTGAGAATTCCAATGACACCCTTACGAACGGCCGGAGTAGTTTGCATGGGTTCTGAGATAACACTTATTGGTTCATGTTCAGCGGCAGGACTAGTTGGTTCATGTTCAGCGGCAGGAATAATTGGTTCATGTTCTGCAGTAGGTCTTGTTCTTTCAGATTCTGACACAGATGTTCCAGTGGATAATTCCCCCATCTTCTTGTTGGCACATATAAAGGATACCATCTGTCAAACAAATGTAATGTCTCATATATAAAGGACATCTTTTGCTGACAAACAAATGCCAGATCTCACATATAAAGGATTATCTGTTATATCTGATATATAAAGGAAAATGTCTCTCAAACAAATATAATATCTCATATATAAAGGACATTTTATGCTGACAAACAAATGTTGTATCTCATATATAAAGGATAATAATCTGTCAATAAAATGGTACTTCCTATATGCAAAGGTCACTTTTTGTTAAATAAATTTGTTATTTCATATTAACATTGTATAAAGAACATTATCTGTTAAGCAATTGTAAATTCTTGTCTTTCATTTATAATGGACAGTATCTGCCGATCAATGTTATGTCATATAAATATGTGAATGCAATATCTGACGTGGAGAGAAATGTTGATAAGTGTTTATTGAAATACGTTACACTTGTAACTGGTATTTACGTCACGCATCATGCACACTTTCATTACAGTATAAGTTGGCAATGAATTATTTACACGTGCCAATGAAATGTTTGATTAAGTCATTATAAGTATGGTACATGTGCAATGTAATACACCACCTATAAGTGGAACTGATATTTAGGTAACGTATCGCACCAAGTCTCCAATACGAGATGTGATATCAATTTATCTAATTACTTATCTATTTATATGTATATTATACCTATTACTATTAGGTACACATGTACTGACAAATATATTATTTGTACAGTGGCACTGATGCGCAATCAAATACTGCATTAAAACACATGTTCGTTGAGCCGGAGGCCTACACAATAGAGCTGTATATTTGATTCAATTACGAATATGAATTGTCCGTATCATGATATAACAAGGTTATCAGGATCCACGTTGTTAAATCTTGAACTTGTTTGATTATTAGTACTATAATGATGATGTATTTAGAACGTACTTACCTGTAAAAGGAGCAAAAAAGAAACCAGAGACAGACCTACGCCCGAAAATGTCCTGAAATGATCCTGAAGAACCGGAGCGCAAGGCTGCAATATATCATAACAGTACTTAACATTCGTCATTGCTAGTTTCTATTATCTTAACTTAGAGTATGCTAATAATGGTTTCCTTACTACCAAGATGTATCTACCTGCAGTATGGCAATAATGGCCATATCAATATATAATTCTATGATGTGGTCATTAGGACATCACTGGTCACCTCTCTACCAGTTTCCTCGGTATTTAATGGCATTCCGACAATATTGGTCAATTCACTATGGTGATATTTACCAACAGTTTGACACCAAATGTAACCCTTCCTTCCAAACTCTACAGTATCATGTAATAGATGATGGCAGATTATATGACATTTACATTCAGTATAATACTGTATAAAGGATCATCTCACTGTCAAACTACAGGTATGTTTGGGGGAGAAACGGTAACACCACTTCCAAACTCATTGACATTTTCCTGCAGTAAGACAAAAATTGTCACCTCACTTCCAAAGTCATATCACTTTCAGCATGAAATACATTGTCAATCTCTCTAACAATTTCTGCGACCGCTACTAACACTTTAACAAGAATAGTCACCTAACTAACAGAACCGGGGACATTAACTTGCAGTGTGCCAATATCGGTGACCTTAATTTCAAAATGAGATTTTCAGCATGACATATATGGTCAACTTCTCTATCAGTTTCGCTACCTACACAATTACATTAATTACTCACGAACTACCAAAATCTTTGATATTTATTAACATAATATGACAATGATTCTCAACCTTTACTATATCATAAAATGTATCTACCAATTTCTTCGACCTCTACCTTCAGTATAAAAATAAATGCCACCTCATTATCAAACTCAATGATACGCCTACACTCTCGCCCCATATATATCTTACTATATTGATAATTATCTCGCCATGCTATACTTATACTACTTACCCTAAAATTACTGCAATGTGGGGAAATTCTGTTCCAGGTCCCCGATGGGACCAAATTCATGAAGTCTTGTTGTCCTGTTATTCCACAGCATTTCAGCTTTAAATACAAACAACGACAGCTTAGGTGTGGAGCAAATATTGTGTTAATGTGTTTATAAGTGTCGATTTATAGTTCTCGTTACACCATACATGTTACTTAAGGATAGCCGTATCACTACTAAAAGCTGTAAATATGTATTGGAAACTTTTTTTCTTTTTTGCATGATTATAGCTTGGGAACTGGGAACCCGAAAACTTACGTCACCTAAACTCCCAAGTCAGCAGAAGCTGCAGTATTATTTTCATAATCTCAACATAGTACAACTTCCATTGGAACACATATACAGTAAATTAAAATGAAACATAATATATAAAAGCATCGAATCGCGAACGGTAATGTGGCAACATCTACCAATGACATCACATATAAGATAAGGAACAAAAAACTGTGGTTGTATTGAGTACAATTAATATACCAATTCAAGTGCTATATTAAAATTTGAGTTTTAACAAATTATCGAAATGTTCACACCCCAATAACAAATCTAATATATGAAAATATATGAAGATATTTTTACACTGACTTTGAATGTAACTTTAAAACAAATATGGAATAAGTTTTACCAAAATATCAATATTATTTGTTGATCCGGAGTGTAGCACCCAGGAGGACTTAATGTTGGAGGAAACCGGAGTACCCCTAAGAAACCCGACGGGCAGATAACGTTATACATTGGATCGGGGCATAGGACCCCGACCCGTTCTGGTGAAAGGTGAATATACTTCCCTCTGCACCACCAACCACAAACTTCATAGGTCTACGTTTCCACCGCATATAGTGATTTTCACTTATTTCAATATATGCAGTCGCACATGTTTTTATTACGATTACATTATGATTGTACTATACTAGATGTGGACAGATATTTACAGCAATGTATATTGTTAAATTACAATGTCAGTGTAAAGTTACAGTATACGAGCAAAACAAAATAATGGTAATACACTATAAATTAAACAAAAACAAACCACTTTCTAGCAATAATTTTTCACATGACAAAGCGTCCTAAATATGCAGTTGACTGACATACTTTAAATTAAGCACCCAGCACGTTCATGTTTATTTCAAGTTTATTCAATCTTTTCACACTATTTCCCACGACATACTACGAGTGGTTATTTCACATTTGTTACTAAACATTCGATCCCAAAAATATTCGTTCTAGCAAATTTAAATTTTGTATTCTTATGCGGTAAATTAAAAGCAAACAGGACGTTTTAAGTAATAATATGTGCTTTAATCTCTTTTTTGTTTTCTTTATGTAACGTTTTAGCAGACACCATCCAGCCACTAATCCCTCTTAATATTGCTAAACTACCAGGGTTATAACACATCAGGTAGTATTTTCCCTTCATTGATGATTGCTATTCTACCCAACTTCCGAGAGGAATCCTGTGGGTCCTAAATAAGTACCAATGCATCTTCACTAACCACTGGGAACTAAACGTCTAGGTACCAACTAAATCCCACCGCCGCCACCAAATATAACGTGCAAGAGAACACCCATCTAGCTCCTGACAACCCTCGCAGTTGCTCAATTATTGAGCGAGTCTCAATGCTCATACTATATTGCGTGAACATCTGTCTTTCTAGTAAAGCAGTATTGCCCCCTCTTTATCATTGACTGCTATATTTATATGTGATTTTGCAGGATGTAACAAATACAATTATAGCGATTGTCAACACAAACGATATTGTACATATGTAACCAGAGCGCTTAAGGATCCCCGTACCAATACCAAAAATTGTAACTAAGCATTGAAACTGGGTTTTTTTCGGCATAAATTAAAACTGATTAATAAATTGATGTCAAGAAAACCATACTAGATTTCATATTTTTATACTATCGCTCTGACGACTGGGCTACCTGATCAACGGACTGTTCTTGACCAACTGTGTTATGTCCAAAACGAAATGAATGGGGGGGGGGGGGGGGGGGTGTTACTATATCTTCAAAGAACACAGTGGAGTGGGACAATAATCCTAATGGGATATTGAAAGATGGTTAGTTCATGATCTCTAGTAAGCACTTATATATATCAAACTTACTGTCTGGACCAGATCAAGAGCGTACTGCAGGTAAGGATCGTAGCGCAGTGATATGGAAAATAAGTCCTCCACTTCTTGTTCCATACCATATCTCACCTGCAAAACATGGTGTCATAATCATCTCGCTGACTCGCAATAAACTAAATTCCAAACAAGATTACGGTGATTTCAGATAATTTCCCTTAGCCCTACTAGAGTAAGAATGCACAAGTATCCGACCTATGTACTGCAGTTTTGTTTAAGTTGGTGACTTAATGTTTTGATAATGTTCGATCAGCAATGTTACTTTTTCCAGGTTTGTAAGCTGTCTTGATAATTTTTTGCAGATTTCCTCGTATTTTTAAAACTGTCATTAAAACGTTTTCATCACTGTGAACCTAAACGAAAATAACAATCAATTCCTATTATAATAGGTACAATTAAGGTATGACGTAGGAATGACAAGAAATGTTAAGTATGTAAAATTAAGACGTGATTATTATTATAAAGATGTTTATTATTATAAAGGTGTTTATCATTATAAAGGTGCTTTTTATTTAAAGGGTTATATGGACACCTTTCCTATTTTGCCGTATTCTACGGGGTTTTTCAGAACACTTAAGACAGTTATTACCTCTCATGAGTACGCATGAATAAAATGGCCATTTTGTGAAGAGAAAAAAAATATTTTTTTTTTTGATTTTCTGCATTGGATTTTTTTATATATAGATGCATATTATTTCTGAACGATATTACGTTTTCAAATCAATCGTATTTAATTTTCAATCTTAAAAAGTCCATAGAATAAGCTTGCCTTAGTATTTATGAATCAACGTGAATAATAATTTCGAGTTATTGGTAAGCAATTGTGACACCAATGTTTCTCGCAAAAGAATTCCCTGTTTTACATGCTGATCATGAATTCCTTTTACAACATTTACCTTTGCGTAAAACACGGCCCAGAAGATGATTACTGTCACAGTCATCACCACGCCTAATATGTTGACAAGTGCAGACTGAAACAAAACAAACCACTTGAGACGTTGATTCCAATTCACTTACTGACCAATAACGGTAGTACAATAATCTCTATAGACAATGACGGGCCAGTATAATATGATGTCAAAACAAAAAAGAACCGTTCTCGATTTCGCTCTCTTAACCCCGTGAACAGGTCATAGCAAAATTCAAGGCACACGACTGGCCATTTGATTGGTGTCAGGTAAAACAAACTGATCAATCGCAAGGCTGGTAACTGTCCTTTGACCATAACAGAGGCGCGGCACTCGACCTTAACACCAGTCACTTTTCCTGGCGACCGACAGATTCGTTTGATGTAGATCAAAGGATAAAACTATTCTTCTCGTCTCATCCACAAGATGGCACACACTGCGCCTTCGATTTTGTTATGACATATCCCAGAGGTACAGAGATCGAAAATGAGCGTAATCTCTGGAGTATCGATGATGCAAGAGAGCAATATTCGAACTCGTTGAACGTCGATAAGACGCAATCATTAAACTATTGAAATCAAACATCCATTTTGAAGTCATTCAGTTCCCGAATATATATATTTTTTAATTGGTGATTTGGGGTTTGTATAAAACAGCAAACATTTTATTTTATTTTCTAAATATATATCTATTTCTTAATGTTGCATTTGTTTTTGTGTCTTTATCTTTTACTTGTTTTGTTTCAAAAGCCAAAATGCAGGATACTTTAGTTAACGCAGGTAAATAAAGCAGTATGCAGCTATCACGAACCGAGGTACCCTTACAAATAGCAGCATCTATATTCAGTCAGGAATGTCATGTTTAGTGAAACATTTTCTGAATCGTGACGCCGCTATCAAAACATATAAATGTAGGGGCTGCTTAACAACGTGACGTCATTTCTTCAGCTATGTCACACGTAACCAATCACGTTATCAATGAAAGAACATGTTTTACATAACACGCATTTTTTGCAACTCTGACGACATTTTCGCCAACATTTAGATGTTAATATTTATACGCATATTACATATTTCCATCATAAATAATTGTTCAAACCTTAAATGGTATACTGATTTAGCCTCTAAATATTTCATACTAGCGATTCTAATGCCTAACTACATATATTGAAGAATAGCTGTTACAAGTACCCACCACATAATAAGCCGCTCGTGACGTCACGCAGGTAACCGAGACACCCTGGAGAGAGGTGAAAAGCGATACACCCCCGCACAACACCAGCAGTGAAGAAAGTATTCTGATTAAGTCATCGAAATATATGTTGTTGAACCTGAGTCGTGAAATTGAAAATTCTGACACAAATGAGGGGTACTCTTTGATGCTGTAACCTCCATAGATAACCAGGCTCACTCCAACACACTGTGTAAAATACACAAACATAAAATTAATGTCATACTGCTTAATTCATGTTATTTGTTCTTCGTTATTTTCGCGGTAACAAAAATGCAGAATTAATTATCCAACTAAAATACATTATCGGGGATTATATTGAACGAACTCAAAGCAAAATTGAAGGCAGTAATAAGCTATTTTATTGGTCTCAGGTATAACAATAATCCTCACCAATCTCTTGCTGTTGTAGTCTTTTGAAGTTTACATAGGAGCGAGACCCGACTTCATAGACATAGACAATGTTACCGTTACCCTACGCGAGATTCTTTTGAAACTAGTTTGCGTGTATCGTCCACAAGGTGGCGTACACCGAATTTTTAATTTTGCTATGACATATTCCAGGTATAAAGAGAGTGTAAGTGAACCTATGCCCTTGAGTAACGAGGATGTATGTTGTATGACAGTTTGAATACTTACACCTTGGCACAGTGCCAAAGATCGCATGACAAACGACAACGCTCCTCTACAAGTAAACAATACAGCGTCATTCTATATTTGTTGCAGATATTACAACTTTTCTTTTTCAAGTAATATTACTTAAATTGTCCTACATAAATGAATATATCGATAGGCAAGAATTCTTATTTAATCCAAACATTTTACTCATCGTGCGTATTGTTATTTCACAACTCTTTTATTATTACCAGAACTTTCTTAACTGTAAATGTATTTAATATTCTCATTTGACAAAAGCAAGTAAAGCAGCCTTACTTTCTCCAATAGAGAACTATGGAGACGCAAATGTCACCAAACGCATCTCGGGAGATGTATGGTAGAACGCCAGTATTTTCGGGTCTTTCCGGTTCTTCGTTTAGTCTCCACTTTCTATATTCGTAGTCCGTTACGACCAAGTTCAGTACCTAAAGATATACAACTAAATATTGTGGTCTGTTACCAGAAAAATCGTTTCGTTCAAACCAATAACTGATCGTCAGTTACACAGCTAATGTGCTTTAAAATATGTTTCTAAATATAATAAACAATAAGTCTGCTTAAACCAATAAATGAGTTTTTGCATACTCGTGTTATTATACACAATTAAATCTCCTGATAAACAGTAGTACTAAACTTAAATATCCCCTGAGAACCAAATACAGTTAATAGGCTTACATCGAAATACCTCTGGTAAAAACAGGAAGTAGCCATAGCCAGATATATATATGGTAAACAGCAAGAATCCCTACACAGATATGCATTTGGTAAAAAAGGAGTAGACCTACACAGAGATATATTTGGTACACGGGAAGAAAACCTACACAAAGTTACATTTGGTAAACAGGAAGTAAACCTTCACAGAGATTTATTGGGTAAACAGCAAGTAAACCTTCACAGAGATATATTTGGTAAACAGCAAGTCAACCTACACAGAGATACAGCTGGTAAACAGCAAGTCAACTTACACAAAGATACATCTGGTAAACAGGAAGTAGCCTTACACAGAAATATATATGATTAACAGGAAATTGACATACACAGAAAAACATCTGGTAAATAGCAAGTCAACCTTCACAGTTATACATCTGGTAAGCGGGAAATAATGCTACACATGGATCATTCTGGTTCCCTGGAGGAAAAGCCCCTTCACCGAGAGATTTCTTGAGAAACTGGAAACCATCCTACTCATAGACAGCCCTGATTAACAAAAAGTTCTCCTTCACCAAAATATCAACACTATTTTAAAAGACATCTTTTGATCAACACGAAGATTTTGTGTATTGAGACATACCCTGTTCAACGGCAAGAAGTCGAGAGACACCACCGTGTATGCATTCGTCCTTTATGTCGACTGAGATTGAGAAATATATTAGTTTCATTATTCAAAAGCATTTCCTTTTAATGAGTCATCAAATAGAATACATCCAAATATGTTTTGCCACTTCTAGCACCCCAAACCACCAAAATTTCGTACCGAGTCCCTACATAACTGGTCGGTAAAAAAATCATAATAATATAAAATCAATAATGACACGTTTTATGTATCTATCATCGAATTCAATGTTTACTTACCTCTAGAATAAGCATGCTGATGACAAACGCCAACATCGTACTCAAAAAGTTGTGGAATGGACTAGACCAGAGGTCCCAGCACCCCTTCATTAATAACGATCAATTAGCTTACAAATCAAATCATGAAAAATTATATGCAGCAAACAAATATCTTATAGCGGGTAAACTATGCAACATTACACACAGGCAGCTGTCAATCAATATGCCAAGGGCAATTCTAGAGGAAGCTCAAATAACGACTGCCAATATCTCCATATACGTTATCTTGGATAGCAATATGGAGTTATTGCATTGTAATAACTTATTTACGTTGGGAAATTTCGAGTTCCATTTAATTAGTAGTATTTGGTACCTTTCTTAAACCAATATTTAACTATGTCACTCAACTAAATACTACTTACTGGTAGCTTTGGCCACCTCCTGGTTGCCTTCTACAGCCCTTACTGAGATCAGTAGGGGGCTTCAGACTAGTCTGGTGATTCAGTCATGTGATCTATTGTGTACCTATCAACTTTAACCGTACTGAACATTGAATATAATAACTGTTTAAACCATATTTACAACTAGTCATTTTGTAAAAGGTACGTACATGTCCAAAGCTCTACGCATTGATTCAAAGGTAAACTATTTTTAACCCAGACAGTGGTTGCCAAATGAGAATATGTAATGACCTTTTCTGTTTTCATTTAAGCATATAGCACAAGTAAGCAATAATGTTTCAAGATTCACGATCTTAATACGTTTTAGCATATATACAGGGACCAAGGTAACGTTTTTCACTATGTTACTCATCTTTCTGTGAATTGAAAACTCCGATGCTTGCTTTATGCAGGTTAAAGCATCTACAAAGTCCAGGTATTTTAATGTCATGTCATATTTCCTGAACATGTATATCAATCAAAAGAAACGCTCCATTAAATGAGATCACATGTGGAGCGAAAAAGGCTTGCAACATTGAAGGCGACTACTTGTGAAATTTCAGTTTTAGTCACATTCGTGATATTTTTTATATTAAGTCACACTCGTGATAGTATTGATATTTAATCATATTCATGATATTACTGTTATTTAGTCACACTCGTTATAGTATTAACATTTAATCACACTCTTGATATTAATGACATCATTCACACTCGTGATATGATTGTTATTTAGTTACACTCGTGATATTATTGACATTTAGTCCCAATCGTGATATAATTGATATTTAGTCACACTCCTGATATTATTTATATTGAATCATATTCATGATATTACTGTTATTTAGTCACACTCGTGATAGTATTAACATTTAATCACACTCCTGATATTATTGACATTAGTCACACTCGTGATATGATTGTTATTTAGTTACACTCGTGATATTATTGACATTTAGTCACACTCGTGACATAATTGATATTTAAGCACACTCCTGATATTATTTATATTGAATCATATTCGTGATATTATTGTTATTTAGTCACACTTGTGATATTATTGACATTTAATCACCCTCGTGGTATTAGTGTTATTTAGTCACACTCGTGATAGTATTGCTATTTTGTCACACTCGTGATGATATTATTATTTAGTCACACTCATGATAGCATTGTTATTTAGTAACACTTGTGATATTATTGACATAAAGTCACACTCGTGAATAACATTCCTGATATTATTGACATTTAGTCACACTCGTGATATTATTGACATTTAGTCACACTCGTGATATAATTGCTATTTAGTCACACTCGTTATGTTATTGTTATTTAGTCACACTCGTCATAATATTGATCTTTAGTCACACTCGTGAAATATATATGCATGAAATTTGATGGACAACTTATATATATATAACTGATCCTGATCAGGGTTCAGAAGATATCAGGACACTTGAGTTAAAATTTCCTTCAAATATTCAAACAACAAACTGAGGCTGCCTTTCTGTTTCCATTTACAAAACTCTCAAAAAAAACCTTGATTTTACATACTTTGAATTTAGATGAGCTGTGGTTTACCTACCGGTATTTTTTTATATGGATAGTACAGGTAGAAGTTCATACAGGGGTCCTCGCCTGAAAATCCGCAGCAGGATAACTGTAAAGCAATTTTGATACGACAGAAATCATCATACTACATCATCATCATCTATCATCATACAGAAATCATATAACATAGATTAATTTTGAGATGACAGTGATTGCCTTTTTACATCTTTCTTTGTAATAGACCATTTTTTTCGTTTTGATACAACACTTATATAAAACTTATTAAAACACATTTAATATTTGCATTCCTTTTTCTGTTATTCTTTATACTAAGGGAAAAAATACATATGTCTAATAATATTTATTTGGCCAATCTAATCATATTTAACATTATTTGTAACTCATATGCGTAAAATCATATTGTTCACAGTAAAACTCATAACTGTATTCGCTCCCTTCTTATCAAGGTATTTCCACATAACTAAAGAGTTCTCCTACCTTTGTTTTGATGTCATCTGCATGGGTGCCAGTATTTATTTCGTTTCTGAATTTGTCGTCGATTCCATAATAGAACTGTTGCCAACATAACATTTTAATACTTTAATCTAATAATTAACATAACATCTTGCTACCAACAAAGTAAAGATTTGTTTTTAAATTCATCATGTGTATAAAATGTATGTGTGGGAGAATTTTTTATCAAATCATTAAAAATAGTAATTCCACATCTATACCATTCAGGATAAAATACACTCTTCTGATTTATAGTTAAACTTTTATTATACCATAAAGGCAATTTTAAAAACGATTGTCCCTTTTCCCTTACAAGATCTTCCTTATAAGAAAGTCTACTCCATGCTTTAAATACATCTTTCCAGAACAAATTTGTACTTGTATTTTTGCATATAGATATATATTTATTACTACAGTTAAAGAGAAGATCAATATTGATATATGTTTTTAATATCTTCTGCCATTTGCCTTGTTTTTGGAGAAGCCTCCTTATCCAACTTAATTTTAAAGATTCTATAAATGACAATAAGTGTACCATCTTAAGACCTCCATCTCTATA